ATTTTAAATACACCCAATATCATTCATTCTTGACAAGAGAATCTAAGAAATTAATTCTGATAATGATAAATCAAAAGATTTTTTTCACTTTCGAGGTTAAAGATCAATGACCCCTGTTTAAAGATTAAATATTTTAATTTTTTCTCTTTATTTTTATCGGAATAAAAAAAATTTGTCACATTGATGAGCATTTACTGGAGTTTAAAACAAAAATTAGTTTGTAAAGCATTATATGGATTTGGAATATACAATTTTAGGCTAGTTTTTGTATCTCCTTTAAAGAGTAAACAATTCTTATCAATTTGACAGGATGTTGCTATTTGTTAAAGAAAAGCCCCGTGGAAGATCAATTTTTCCTCTTTTTTTCCTTGGGTTGAGCAGCTTAAATTCGTGAATTAGAATTTCTGATTTCTCCTGCTGAGTAATGTGCTGTCCGTCGATCACATAATGAGCAATTTAAACATGCAAATTTCTCATTATGTATAATATAAACCCTTTGAATCTCGCTGCTCCACGTGAGCATTATTTGTCTGCGATCGTATCAAGCGCGCGCGCCTCAAGTTATTTGCAATTTGGTTGTCCCTCGTTTATCTCGGTTCAAATTTTTGCTGCGATTCGAGAGCAGGTGGGCAGCAGCACCACCCAAAAAGCAGCCCAACGCAAAATTGCACTTCATTATTTCCTAATGACGAGATAAAAAACGACGACGACGACGCAGGAAATTCTAGAGGACGCGCAAAAAAGCAGTCGTAAAGATAATAAAAAACTGCTAAAAGGCGAAACGGCGATTTCTTTAGCTCTTTTCTCATTCAATGAAAAATAATCCCGCGCCGCTTTTTAGCAATCAATTTTGGGGCCATAAAAATATGTTGCCTGACGTTAAGAGCGCTCGTTTTATGTATTTTCCGTTGCCTACTCGCCTTTCTCGGAATTACATACACGCGGGGAAATTCTCAAAAAGTGACGTGGTTTTTGTTTTTGGAACAGGATTCGGAGCTGCAGTGACAAGAGAGAAAGAAAGAGACAACAGATTTGCATTTACATAAATATAATTCGCGAGGTGGGTGCAGATCTGGTCATACCTGAGAATAAAATACAAAAAAAGATCCGTGTTTTAATGCTATATTATTTTGTAATTTATTACGTTGTTTATTACTTTAAAATTTTAATTTTAAACTTGGCCTGTTTAATTTGCCTCAAAAATTTCGGTTTTCCTCGCCATTGAAACCTGAAGCGAGCTTATATATGATTTTAAAATTATTAAAGAGGAAAATTGCGATTGAAACGTGTTTAATCGTGGACTGAAAAACGAATTTTTTTAAAATATTCAGCTGAATTTTTTCCTAGCATAATATCTTCTTCAAATCTTGAAATGTAAAAAAAAAATTTGAAGAATAAGGTAAAAATTTACTCCACACTTTCTTTTTAAAAAAAAGGGCATTTTCAGCTGAAGAATATTTGCGATTTAATTATTTCTTTGAAGCCTCAAACTAAGTAAATCGTTTGATTTAATCGACATTTGAATTTAAAAAGCTATTAAACCGAATATCAAACATTTTAAGGGGTTTATGCTTATGCAACCTTTTTGTTGGCCAAGAAGTACTATGATGATGAAGGTAAAAAATTTGAAATAATCCTGATAAATTTTGTTTCAGGTGACAAAAGTTAAAGATCGTCTCCGGTCAAGTATTTTTGCTGATTTTGCCACTAATGCCCCACGGCGCTGCAGAAAACTTGGCAAAATCAGCGATCGCAGCGCCAATGTGATCAAATCCTGCAGTTTTTGTACAAAACAGATGGATCTGATTGGCTACTCAATTCTCACACGTTTTTCGCGCGAATCACTCGTATTTAGGTTTTCTTTTGATTGAGACGCAACGGTTTGGAATTTTTAAATAGTGTTTTCACAAGATTTACTCGAAATTTAGCAATCTTTCAGAATAAAGAGCAATACAATTGACCGGAGAGGATCTTTAAAATTTCATTCTTGTTTGTACTCATGAAATATAATTGCTTTAAGTATCAAAAACAGTTTTTTATTATAAAAAAAAAATACTTCATAACTCTGAATTGTCATTAGTTTCAAAATCTTGTTTTGAAATTCGTAAAATAAACAGTTAAATCAATTAAAATTTAATTTAATTCATTAAAAAAATATATTATATAATTCAATCATTGAATTTTTTTTATTTAACGAAAAATGCTGATAAATATTTCAATTATAATAAAAACTGAAAAAAATTTTAACAAATCTCAAAGCACACAATAATGTTCTGTTCCCATTCTTATGAAACTCAAACCATACGAGTTTTTTTTATATGATGTCTCTCAAGACAAAGAAGCTTGCTTTATTTTTCTCTCTCACTTCTGAATAATGCGAAAATTGGCCAAAACACCAGTGTCTGCAATAAAATTTATTGCTCTACAACTGTGGGGCGAGATTTCTTGGAATTTCCCGAACTCATCCTGCAAGAATTTTTATGACTTCATTTCTCTTCATTTGATATGGTAATCCGTTTAGTGAAGCGCGCGTGTCCGCCCATGCATGGAATAAATCAAGCCCGAGTGACACATTGAGTGTAGTTTATTGAGCCAAATTATAGCCAAAGTGCAGCAACACTTTGCAAGATTGTTGGGCTCTTTTCGCACAACATAATTGGCGGATGTATCAGATTGCGAAACAATTAATTAAGCCGACCCGTCTCTTAGTGTCAATGTAATAAATGATGCGTTCAGATTAAGTAATGGCTTCGCGCTTGGACTGATTATGCCGCCGCGATATAGATAAATTTCGCGATAAAATAACGCGATTGTGTTTGTTGTCGGACGCCTTGAGCTCTCGCGCCTTTAAAAATATATATATGCAGAGCAAATTTTCCTTCGCCCCGATTCGATCTGAACGATTTCCAAGGCAAATGACCTCTGCGATAACTATACGAAAAAAAAATTCTCAAAGTGTTGCTTGAAAACGTTAATTAAATCCTGCAAGTGGATTTTGATTCATGAGCAGAGATTCTAAATTTCATTAAAAAAGTATAAAACATATTTCGATAAAAATTTATTTAGAAAATCGTTTCTAATCAGAAGAAAAATTTTGTTTAAAAAAGTAGATGTTTTTAATGGTATTATTAATAATTATTGTTCAATATGATAAGGCTTACTGCGGTGGATGGAGTATTTTTTATCTCGGAAGTTTTAGTATTGGTGCCGTTTTGTCCAACAATTCCTTTCTTTTCAAATAATTTGTTTTCAACAATTGAATTTTAACAATGTGATGTAAAATTTGGACAAATAAAAAATAATAATACTTACGATTCTGAAAAGAAAATACTTAAAAAAGTCAGGAAATTAAAAATGTCGCAAAATAGCAAATAATCAATAATTTTAATAATTTTCAAAAGGCTATTTTGATTGGTATTTTCAAAATAAATAGGTTTTAAGTAAGCAGATTTTGATAATGATACAATTTTAAAATATCCTTCTTCAGAATTAAATTTTAAGTGAAATAATTTGATAAAAATAAATAACAATTAAAATTTGAGCCAAGGAAATGAGGTTTGTGATAAGTTTTAATTAACCAAGCTTTTTGCAAAACAAAGGAAGAATAAAAAAATGTTTTTTTCGCGTTAAATTTGAAATTGAGCGTTAATAATAAAAACAAAACCCATTTTTATCAGAAAGAAACTTATTATAGGATTTTTTTATCCTTTCAACCAATTTTGAAACTAAAAACTCCACCAAAAATCTCCTATTTGCAGAAAAATAATTATTATTTTTTGCCCAAAATTAGAAAAGTAAAAATAAAAATAATTAATTTGGCTTTTTTCACCTCGAATAACATGAAAAAAATCCCCTATTTTGTCTTCAGTTCTTAAGTTAAGAAGGAACTGACAAAAATAGACAATGAAGAGTTATAAAATATTATTATGGAGTTTGAAATTTATATAATTTTTATCGCTGCATGCAAACAAGTGCACAATTACAGATTTATCTATCAAAGTTAATGAAGTATACATGTGTTTCAAATCTCGAACAAAGTAGTTTTTTTCTTATTAATTTGAGATGCAAGTCCGAGATTGGCCTACGCGAGTGCGGCGAACCGAAAAGCTACAATTCCAGAGGAGAGCAGAAGAAGAAGTGTCGGTCGAGAATGGAGAATGGGGCAGGGATGTGTGGCGCGTTTCTGCAGATAACGCCGCCGAGACACAGAAGAAGATAATCGGTTGTTATTGGTGATGACATGCATTGCGCGCCGCCGAGAACAAAGAAGAACACGGACGGGCCATCAACACCTGCATCGCTCATTAAGCAGGGCAACCAACATTCCTCGAAAATTCAGAAAATTAACGCCTAGATCCATTTTATCAAAGCAGGTGAATCGTAACAAAAGGAAATGCCCAAAATATATATTTAGAATTTTTAAGTTTGATAATTTACGATGAAAAAAAAACGGAACTTTTTAGGGTTAAATTACCGGAAATTAAAAAAAAAAAATTAATTTAATATCCCCTTTTGTGTAAAAATTTATCATGAATGAATAAAATTTTATGAAACAGTCGGTCAAGATTTTTACTGCAGCATTACAAATTAATATTTCACCCAACAATAATCTAATTTATTTATTCAAAATGAGATCCAAAAACTTCAAAATTAACACTGCAAGTTTTCATATTATATACAGTTGCATAAAAGTTGTATTTTTTTTATCCGGTCTCAAACGTCTTGATTGAGATTATATTACTGTGCAGATTATGATATAAAGTACTACTTTATAGTTTTCAGTCCAACCATTCGTGTTATTACTTCTTTCCGCCGCCGCCGTTTCCGCTGCTGAGATATTATAAAGCGAGGAATAAGAAAATCGCTATAAAAATGTGGTTTTTCACTCTCGGAAACAAAAAAAAACGCCTGTTCCGTTCTCGTAAAAATGTGTGAAAATTCCTCATAGCATGAGTCAGAAATTTGAATAATTTTTATATGATAATATAAAGGTCACTGACCTGCTCCATGGGTTTCATCTTCAGTCCCGTCTCCTCGTCCTCTTCGGCATGTGGAAGCTGCGGTTGTGAAGGGGTGGGGGTGAGGGGGTTGCAACTGCCGCCGAGGGTGGGCACAACCAGGTTGAGGATTGAGGCGGAATTCGCCTGGACGGCGTTCGAACTCTTCGCAAGGTCATTGTTAATCTGCTGACCTAAAGGCAAATAAAAATGACCAACTTGAAAAAAAAATAAAAAATATAAATAAAGAATCATCAACACTGATCATTACAAGTGTTTTTGTATTTGATTTTTTCATAGAAGCAAACGCCAGCGGATTCTTAATAATAATTTAAAGATTTAGATTTAGATTTTAAAGTTTTTTTAAACACAAAATACCAAAAAAATAAAATAATTTAAAATTTGTAGAATTTATTTGTTGTTCATTTCTGTTTTGCTAGGATAGGGGGTGGATTGGTATTCAAATCCTGCAAATTAATTTTTAATAAGGAAAACATAATTTAAGCAGATAATTTACAGTTATTTGAGAAAAATATTAGTAAAATAATAACATTTTAACCTTAATAATTATTTTAATTGAAAATTTTTTGATAAACAAAAGGAGCTGGCGATTGAAAAATTTGTACGTAAATTTGGAGGGCAAAGTGCCATTTTTTGAATTTATTTTCCAACTTGCAATTAAAAGGGTTGATATGAACTTAATTTGGAATTTTCTTATCAATTTTATTTGAACTGGGACAAATGTTGGTAAAAATTGCGAAAACAATTTTAAGTATCAATAATAATTTCATTATATTTTCAATTATTGAAAATAAATCAATGTTCTATTTTGTTTTCTAATTGGAAATTTCAGGAAACTTATTGAAATCATAGCGAATTTATTAAAAAAAACCATAATTATGAAAATTACTTGAGCTGGGCTATTTTGAGAGAAAATCCTCCTTAAAATTTTTATAAAAATTGGAAAATTATTGTTGTTTCATTATTGTTATGTTCAATTAATTGTTGAAAAACAATTATTACTAAAAAAAGTTTAATTGCCTTTGTAAAAAATTAAAAATAAATCATTGTTTTCTGTGATTCTTCAATTTTTCAACTTTTTTGAATACCTTGATTTTGAGGCGGCGTGAGAAAGTTGTTCTGGACGGCGTTGTTGAAGATGTTGAGCGCCTCCTGGGACGCCTTGCTGTCGAGGGCCGACTCGGTGACGGCGCGGAACAACTTGGGGTTGGACAGCGCCGGCGACTGGCCCTTGTTGGCGGCCGCCTGCTGCTGGTTGTTGAACAGCTGCGGCTCGCTCTTGTAGAAGTCGGACTTCTTGGACGACTTGAAGAACTTGTGCTTCTTGCTGCCGGTGGTCGCGGCCTGCGGGTCCGCGGCCGCCGCCGCGGCCTCCTCCTTGCCACTCGCGTACTTGACCAGTTCAGCCTCGTACTTGGCCGTCGGCACGCACACCACGAACAACACGCCGGCCATTTTCGGCACTTTTTCAAATTATTATTTTTTTTTTTAGATAAAAAAAACAAAAACCACCAACGCGTGTGAATATCCAACCGCCCGCCCGACCGGAGTCTGAATGAACTCGTGCGCCAGCCACCTCGGGATTTATATTTGAACGCGGCCACGGCCACTGCATGGGGGCGCTTCGCACTCTCGAGCTTCACGTGTGTGGTGCTCGACGCGCCAGATCGTCCGTCGCTCTTTATACATATTATTTATGTATTATCCTGCAGCCACCATACCATGCACCACATTTCCTATAAATACGCCAAATGCTTCGAAAGACTGGAGGAGAGTTCAACATACCAGAAGCAAAGGAATTAAAAAGAAAATTAAAATTAAAAATTTTCCTCCAATAATTTAGTGGGAAAGGGTGAGTTTATTTAATGAATAAAATTTCGAACCGGGAATTAAATTTTTTTTATTGATTCTAGACCATTTTATGCACAAATCATCTTCAAATCACTCTGATTATGAATGAAATTTAAAATATTCCAATTATTTTAACAAAATTTTAACAAATTTGAATTTATTTTAGAAAGTTTAATAAAATCCTTTTCAAAAACATAACAAAAATCATGATTGCAAAGGATGGTTTTTTTTATTCTGGAAGTTTTAAATTTCAACACTATGTTTTGCTATAATGTGATGTTTTGTCCAACAAATCAACTCCCTTACAATTTTTTTCAAATTTCTTGTCAAATACCTCATTAGGAGGGTAAATTTCAAATGAAATGCAATAACCATTTTTTCTGACAAATCATATACAATCAAATAATTTTAAAAAAAAACATCATTTTTGATATGGATAGAAAAAAAATTTGTTTTCTCAAACACATTGAAAATTATTGTTGTTTATTTTTCACAAATCAAGTCAAATGAGAAAGAAAAATTACAAAATGTGAAGAAACACATTCTGGCAAACAAGTTGCTAAAACCCGGGGCCTCAAGAGAGGTCCGCGCCGAGATGGGCCGCAATTGTAATTATTATTTTTTTAGAATATTATGGCGTTTCCATTTCAAACATACAAAACTAGTTAATAATATTGTGTGAAAACCCAGCACCATTATGGCAAGTAAAATAACTTTGTTTAATACAAATTTACCGATGAAAATTGACAAGAACAAAAATTAACAATATTAATTAGCAAAAGTGGCTCATTGCACTGGATGCGGTACTTTTTGTATTTTTGATTTCGAAGGTTGTATTTTGCCTATATTTACAATAAATCTCAATTTTTCCCTCGCAACAAAATTCAAAGCAAAATTTGTGTAGCATTTTGCAGAAATAAACAGCGAATAATAATAATAATAATTGAAACCTCATTTATACTTAACTAAATTGCGTTTAATTTACTATAAATAGAATAAAAAATATTCTTTTCAAATAACCAAAATTGAAAGAGAAACTAAGCGGTGAACCCCACATTATCTTTAAATTGTAAAAAAAGCGAATAAAAAACTTATGAAACTGTTAATTTTTGTTAAATATTTTAATTGGAACTTGGAAACTGTCTTTTTAATGTAAATGAGAATAATAAATACGGCAAAATACAAGTAAAATACACTAATAAAAATTTAGAAAAACTTTGCACATCATTTTTCCCCACAAAGCGAGAATTTATTATTCAAAAAACTATATTATTTGTAAATATTTTTAAATTTGTTCATTTACACGAGGCGTTTAAATTTTTAAATGGTAATTTGCCGTCATTATTGTTCTGCAAAACAATGTGTTATTGCAGGGCCTAAAAAGTGCCGTTATTAATTAATTAACCAGTTCAGAGACTTTGATTATTCATCTCCGCGTGGTCCGCGATGCGGTCTCGGCGGCGCAATCAATCGTCACCTGTTGATTGCCGTCTGTTGTTGTCGCTCTTCAATCGATATTGGCACTAGTGACCGACTTTGATAATAAATGAGCGATTATAGGCACTTCGGGATTAATCTTTGTTGTCTGAATCATATAGGTGACCCAAATTTTCACCTGTTTATAGAAAAGAAACTCATTTTGAGGGATTATAAAAACGTTTGAAAAAAACAAAAACAACTTGTATATTTTCGACTGTGCTTCATCATAGAATTTATTGAAAAATACTCTTTTTTTCAACACTTTGCTTTTTATATTTTCCATCTTTTTCCTCCAAACGAATGCGCATGCCGCGGTTACACTTTTACACTCCGCGGCTACTTTGATACTCAATTTTATTACCACCTAATCAGCTTCCACAACTATTCAGTTAAAATAAAAACGTGATATTTTTTTTCTCGCAGTTTGACTATATAATGGAGGATAAAAATTACAAACGAGGGATGGAAATTTGTATATTCACAGACCGAGAGAAGCGCGGATCGGCCACGCTCGTATAATTTTTTTTCGTACTTTTCATGGTTAGTAGTTAACAAGACACCACCACTTTCTCTCACTCGCGCATCCCCACAAAAAAGCAGCAATTTGATGTACATAATTATTTATATAATAGTTAATTAAAAGAACACGACAATTTCCATCCCGCGAAACGACATGGGTTCCATTCCTGTTGCATTTTATAGAAAAATAACAGCAGCTAACCGGATATGAGAGTCGCTAATTAATACAACATGCATACTTTTTATCAGTGCCAAAATCATTGCAAGAAAAACAATGGCAGCTGCGTAAAAATCTATGTACAAACCAGCAGTAAAACAAAGTTATCATTGGATACACCGTGTATTCACAAAAAAATTCAATCATATACGTAATCATAAATATTTACAGGTTGTGTAAAATTGCTGCCCGACAATCAGCCAAGTCGCTCCAAATTAGGAAAATTAATGTGACTTTGAATACAATAAGCGACTTCGAGAGCGGAGGTCCTTTTATTCCATTTAAGGACAAAAAAGACTCAATTTATTTTAATATTTAAGTCGCGTGTGAAAATATTATTTAAGGACAGGACATTTAACAAAACTAAAACTTACTTATAAACACCGACATCAATTAATTTCTCAACTTCGGAATGGTCCCTTTCGTTTAAAAAACATACCATTCGGGACCCCACGATTTATCTTTTTATTTTATTTGAGCTCGGGATTAGCCAGCTAGACACAAGCAGAGACGATGAATGGAGACGCGAATGCACTGCATTATCATTAAAAGCAGCGATTTTTTGTTCCAAATCGTGATAATTAATTTCTTGAGAAGCATCTCAGTTCAAAATCTCTACACATAAGGCGGTCGTGTGTTTACAAAACTCAGGTCAGGGATAAAAATTACAATCGTTCAATCGGGGCGATTATTCTTAAAACTAGGGCAAATTATCAGGCACAACAAGACTTTTAAAGCAACTTCCGGAGAGCGCGATTTTTAGTGCCGCCCGATCCGAGGCAAACGCCAGAGTTTATTAGAGAGAGATCAGTTTGATTTGTTGTTAACTTTTTCATCTTTTTGTTTTGTATCTCTGGTCGTTTCCGGCCGTTTGCCTCGATCGTGCGGTTTGCAAGGACAACCTATCGATTTTACATATTAATAATTATTAACAATTGCGACTTATACTTCTTGCCCGTTGTGTTTTTGCTAAATGCTTTCAATCATCATTTTTGCCCTCGAACTGTCCAAAATAAATTAATACTCGCACAAATGGGCTCGGGAAAACAACACCATGCCGTTCATGCTAGCCGGGGTTTGTAAAATTCAACCCCCAGAATATTTTCTTAAAAAAATTGGATAAGAAGATAAGTGGAAGTGGGATTGCATATATATATTTTATCCGTTCAACATTTAACAGGCACTCAAATCAACGATGGACCTTTCGGTACCATCTACAGTAGCACTACTCAGTTAATTAGAACGGGCCACTTGCCGACGCCGGAGAACTTTACAAGAAAAAAATTCAACAAAGCGCCCCTCACTATTTACAAGCCTCCGCCGTCCACAAGTGGCCCGTCCGTAGATTTTCCATGTAAAAAACAGTCCACCATAAGAATAGCAATGAAATTCTCCTCCCAAATATTCAACAGCAGCGTAAAATCAACCGATCACTTCTTACAGTTTGATTCTGCAATTTAATGTAAAAAACCACTCTTGCTACAGGGGAACTGTCTTGCCCGACCGAATAGAGAGAAAAATAGTCTGCTCAACCACTCTTTCTACTTTGCGCTGCTCGGTTGCTCCGTCGACTTGGCCGAGGGCTGGCCCATCGTGTCGCTGCGCCGGTAGTACAGGATGTATGGCACAGACGGTGATTTCGGGTGCAGCACCAATGCCTCGGGCACAACTCGCACCTGGTTGTCATCGTAACGGACCCAAATGCCCAGGTTCGAGTTGTAGGCGTCGGTGATGTAGTGGCCCTTGGAGGCCTCCTTTCCGTCGTGATACACCACTGAAAATTTCAATCAGTTTTAAACTAATCCTGGATCTTTGAATTCATTAATTCTACCTGCGAAGAGTTTGTAGATTTTCTGCTTGGGATTGTAGTTATTCTTCTTGTGTGAAAGGATTTCTAAAATACAAGTCAATTTTGTTACAATTTCAAATGTTAAAACTTGGTTAAACAACTCACTATTCTCAATTTTCAAGTCGACAGTGTAATCCACCGTCTTCATGATTTTGGAGCAGCCATCGAGTTTGTAATCGAACCACTTTAGATGCAGAAGCAGCACAGGCGGAAGTTCCTCCAGGGTGACCTGCTGCCATGCCTCGACCTGTAAATTGTTACAAGTTAAATTCAGCATTTCTTATGAAAAAAATGTTTTTTCTACCTGTTGGTGAGTGCGCGAACAAGTCACTCCCTCCAACCTGTCCTTGTCCACCATTTGCTCAAGGGCTTCCTTCACACTGCTCGCTCTCTGAAGAACAAAATTTAATTCAAGATTTTTTTAAATAATTAATTAACTCCACAATTACCTCAATATCAAGCTGGAGGGTGTAAAATGGCTGCACATTTTCAGTTTGCTGGTCCCCTTTGCGTTGGACGTGCGAGCAAAGCTGGCCTCTGAAGATGTCCGAGACGGGGGTTCGGCCAAAGTCGGCGCGCCTAGTCACGCAGGCGCGATTTCTGGACTTCATTACCTGGAAAAACCAGGGCGTTTAATTAATTTTATAAGTGAAATGATTTCAAAACTCACAGTCCATGCGTCCTCGTCCTCAGAGAGGCCGTGGTCACTGTTGCCGTTGGCGGTGGGGGAAGGGGAGTGGGCCTGGCCGTTGACCAAAGTCTCTTTTGCGTTGGGACCCTCGACCAGTTTCATCAGGTCGAGCATCTCGTCGTTTAGGCCGTTCAGCAGGCAGCTGAGGAACTCTTCGGCATCCTCCTGCCGACCCTCCACCTTGAAGGCGGCGGAGCGAATTGAGCCAAGCATGGCGTACACGCAAGAGGGCTCAAAAGGAGGACCCTGAGGCACTTCGACGACGTCGTCACCTTTACGGGCCGCCACCTTGTCCCTGCGGGCGGGTTTGGCGCCGGCAGGGAGGCTGTTGAACTCTTGCATGAACTCCATTCTATAATAAATTTAATTCAAAACAGGAAAAAATACAATTTTGCAAAACTTACACAGCGTCAATAATGGGAGTTTTGGACTTGTACTCATATTTAGAATTGTTCCTCTGCTTGCAAGGCAGGTTTCGCATCAGGTTGTAGAAGGGCGGACACGCGACCAATGCCTGCAGGGTTGCGTTGACGTAGCACCAGTTGCTACGGTTTGTCAGTCCTCTCGGTTGGAGGGGCGAAGAGCGGTGGTCTAACACGTAGGCGGACAAATATTCTGAAATTTTACAATATTTTATTATTAAATCCAGCAAAAATTTAAATTTTTACCTCCTAGTCTGTAGAGGAAAGGATCGTCGGACATGTCATCGGCATTAGCGGACAAGTGATTGCTGAATTTGTTGATGCTGTTGTTGTTATTGTTGTTGGCTGCGAGGCTGAAATTCTCCTCTTCGACGACTGCGCTGCTTGAAACTTGCTCAGGCTGTTGTCGGGGCAGAGTTTTGGCAGCGTCGGCAGCAACGGGATCGGTCGGCGGGTTTTTGGCTTGGACTATTCTTGCCCAAGACATTGTGGCCGGTGCAGGCGGCGCTGGAGTCGGTTCGGGAGTTTTTGGCTCCGCAACAACAACAGGCTCGGGCTCCTTTTCTTCTTCCACCGGTGGAGGTTCATCAATAACAACTGGCTCGGGCTGGGGTTCAGGTGCTACTTCGACAGGGGGTTCTTCCATTTTCACTGGTTTTGGCTCCTAAAAGGGAAAAATTAAAATTTTATAATCAAACACACTTAGAATAAGCTGTAGTTATTTAACATAAATTAGCCAAATCAAGAAAGTTGGATTTAATAAATGTGAATAAATTTGTTTTATAATTTTTAATATTTAATTTTTGTTTGTTCCCGATACCGTAGAATTGCAATCAGTCTGGCAGTGGGATAATTATCATCTCATCTATGAACGAACCTCCGGAGTAACTGCTTTGGGCGGTGCCTCCTTCTTTTCCTCCTGCTTTGGCGGCTTGAACGCCGGCGCCGTCGGTCTGAGCTGCAGGTTGTTGTTGTTGAACGCCGGCGGTTTGACCGTCGGCGGGGGCGGATGGTAGCTGGGCAGGAAGGCGGGCGCCGTCGGCTGCAGGATGGACGCCTCCGTGTTGACGATGATGGGCTCCTTGGCGGCCAGGTTGAGCGGCTCCTGCTGGTGTGTCAGGTACATGTCGGCGGGCGGCTGCATCTCTTGCTGCATTTGCGGGGGCGGCATGTACATTTGCTGGTAGTAAATTGGCTGGCTGGGGTAGGAGGGCGAGTAGCTCGGCCACAGGGCCGAGTTGGGGTGCGGCTGCATCTGCGGTGGGGGCTGCTGGTAGCCTCCGTAGGCGTCGTCCTTCTTGTACGCAGCGCCCTGCGGAACCATGTACGTGTTGATCATCATGTTCTGGTGGTTCGGAATGATCATCGAGTAGGGCGACGGGTTCACCATCGAGGCCTGCGACATCACCACCGGGTACAGAATCGGCTTCTGTGGAACTTGCTCGGCTGGTGCCATTTCTAAAATAAAAAAAATCACAATTAAAAAATGGAATCAAAATATACAATTATTTAAACAATTAATAAATTCTAGAAGAAATATTTCTTAGCATTAAAATTTGTTTCATTTGGTCAAATGCAGATCACAATTTGCACCTTATCTAATCAAAGAAATAAGCTGCAGGTTTAAAATTAAAATGACTCAATCCCCAAAATAACTTGAGGCAAAACAAAGTCAATTTTAAAATTGAATTTTAAATCATTTGCATTACTGTATACAAATTAAATCAAAGTCATTCAAGATTAAGAATGGGTTCATTACTCATTTTAGTGAACTAAGCAAGATAAGATTACAATTCGCTGCTAATTTAATTTGAAAGAATTGCACATAGTCAGCTTCTCTCGCAATGCCAGCAAGCTGATCTCAGCAGAAACAAAGAAAGCCCCATAAAAGCTGAGCAGAATTTAATTAACACAATTTGAAAATTTTAATGTTATATAAAATAATAATACAGAAAATTTTTAGTCTAATCAAATTAATACGATAAAATTCAAAATTATTAAACCAATTTTTTTTTTTTTAAATTACGTAATTGGTCAAGGTTGAGATTGAAATGTCCCTCACCTAGGCTCCTGTGGGGGTCCCACTGGGCCTGGGTGACCATCGGAGGCGGCACTGCAGCCATCTGCTGCGGCGGAGGCGGCTGCAGGGGCGGCTGCTGCTGCTGCGGCGGCGGCACATGTTGGACCTGCTGCGGCTGCTGCTTCCTGCTCGGCACGCTGATGGACTTGCACTCGCCGAACAGGATGTTCTGGACGCGCGAGCACTCAGTCTCATCGACTCCGTCCAAGTCGATGAACTGAATCTGCGGAAAGAAGAAAATCGGTCAGCGAAATCGCGTTCGAATTTCCGGCGGTGTCCGGAAGTGCCGGTAAACAACCGGTTTTGCGCCACTTCGGGCCGCCGTCGGCGTCGCCGACGCGCCGCGGCGGCCGAATCGGCCGACGCGTCGGCCGACCGGGCCGAGATTGTTCGGCGCTCGGCGATATTTCGTCACCCACGTGCGCAAAATGCACAAATGGCTGGTGCCATCTTGCACAACTGTGCCGCGATTTCGGCCGCCGTCGCCGCCCAATCGCGGCCCGTCCCGCGTCCCTTTTCGCTTATTTACCTTGTCGTTGGACTCCATGATGGGAAGTCGTCGTCGTCTATAACATTTCGGCTGCTTTTGGGGCGCGAATTCGGCAAAAAGCGGCTCGACCTGCGATGTAAACTTACGCAGCGAAAGATCGCTGATGGCGATGCTCTTTTGTTTCTTTTTCGATTGCGCACTGCTGCCAACCTGATCGATTCGGAACTGACAACTTGACGGCATTTCCAATGCATTGAATTATACGAATTACAGCTTAAATCAAGAAGTACCTCTTGCTCTAAATAATACGCCTTTAATTATAATTTATTAGGTTAAAATTTTGGATTTGGAATCAAAATTAAAATTATCTTTGTGATAAATAATTACCTATTTCACCTATTTTTCATTCATTTGAGTAAACAATTAATCTATTTCCGCTATTTTCATACATTAAAACCATTATTTATTATATTATGTAATTTTAATTTTTCACCGGTTTTCACCTATTTTGACTTTTGATATATAAAATTGCTCACTAACTGTCGTATTATTGAGAAATCCAATCTAATTAAAAAATCAACTTCAACCATAAAATAATGTTAAATTTTGTTACAGCAATTAAAATTAATCACCTATATTTCACCCCGATTTCACCCATTTAGCTTTTACTTTTAAAATGGTATCTATTTTTTCAATCACTTCAGAAGAAATCGCTAATTTTTTTTTCAAAGAAATAAAAATTGCAGACTAAAATAGTCATCAAGAGTGCAATGGACAAATTTTTGACATATTAATATTTTAAATGTACATTTACTAGTTTTTGAACTAATAAATATATATAAAATCAAAAAGAATTATATTATTTGGTCTAAAAACAATTAACATAATTAAGTTTAAATACAATGTACTATTTAAATTGATGAATATTTTCAGATATTTTCTATGTCCTAAAAACAGCTTCATTCAAACTTGGCTGGCTAAGATACTTTTTTAAATCTGAACAGGGCAATTTTACTTTTAGTTGTTAGAGGATGAAGAAAGTAAATACTTTGGGTGGTCAAAAATATTAATATAGTAATTAAGTTTTTGTTACAATTTAGTTTCCATTCATTAAACAGAAAATTGAAAAAGTTTTTTTTTACCAATTTTTACATGCAACAGATGAAAATTTGTATAATAAGAGGCAACAATTTTATTGAAGCAGAAATTGTGGGTAATTCAAAAATTTAATTATTTCAGTTAGGCAATTTTTTTACTAGTTTTTTATATTTGCAAATACTATTGACTGAAAAATTAAGTAGCCAGAGGTATTTTTTCTTTATATAAACTCAGCGATTCTCTGTTCAGTTTGTCAGTTCTCAAATTTTATTGTCTAAACTCTTACATTTGATCGTCATTATACATATATAAATAAATTAGGTAATAAATTAATTAAATCAAGAATTAAGTAAGACTTCTGCACAGCAAAAGTGGAGAAAAAAATGCAAGTACAGCGTTTTGTAATAATTAAAGGTACAGTCGGAGGAAAAAGTCTTTGAGCGTTGATTGACTTGGTCGAAAGGAAGCGCTAATTAAGGATAATTAATTTCATATTACTGCTGAGGTGCGGAGGAGGAAGAGGAGGAGGCGGTCTGCTGGGGCTGGACGGTGGCGTCGCCCTGGGGGTTGTAGTAGCTCTTGTAGGCGAGTTGGTGAGCGTCGTAGACGCGGCTGTACGAGTTGGACGAGGCGGCGGCCGAAGGTTCCCAGGTGTTCTCGGCGGGGCCGTACGAGTTCTGGGGGGCGGAGGGGGCCGAGTAGGGCATGGGGGGAGCGCCGTAGCCGGCGGACGGGGGGGCGGGGGTCATCTCGGGGGCGGCGGGCATCATCATGCCGGGCATCATGGCGGCGCCGCCGCCAAGTTTCTTGCACAGCTGCAGGAAGACGAAGCCGGCGACCACCAACAGGGCGATCTTGCTGATGACCAGGGCCTTGACGGCCTTGATGCTCGACACCAACACCAGGATGGGCATCAGGGCCTTCATCTTGAGCTTCAGCAGCAGCAGGACGGGCAGCAGAAGTTTCTTCTTCAGGATTCCTCGGGCTAATTTTAATGAAAATTAATTTTTTGAAAATATTTGTACTATTGAGTTTAAAATTCTAAACTCCTTTTTTAATTTATTAGCTTTTTTCGTTTAAAAAAAGAGTTCCTCTTTCTACCTTTTAATGATTTTTTTTTTTTTTTGGTCAAACTATTATTTTAAGTGTTATAGTTTCAATTAAGACATCATGAATGGTAATCTTAAATTAAACTAATGAAAATAAGAATTGCCTTTTTTTAACTTTTATAGATTATTTTTTTCCTGAATATTTTGTGTGATTAAATTAATGAAAATTTAATCAAAGAAAATTAATTTCATCTTAATTAACTTGGCAAAAAATCTTGGGCGGGATTAATTTAATAATTACTTTTTCAGCTGGTTTAATTGAATTAATTAAAATGTTTACCTTCAGCCATTCCTCTGCTCATGCGGGCGGTGGGGGCGGGGAAGGAGTAGTCGACGTCGAAGGTGTTGGGGTTGAAGGTGAGCTTGGCGCTCTGGAAAAGGGTCTCGGGCAGTTGCATCTGGAACACGTGGCTCCTGGCGTATCTGGCCACGCGGCTGGCGATCATCTCGTCAATTTTGTCGTCAGAGGTCATCGAGTCCTCGTCGCGGGGCACGGCGTCGGGGATGGGGCCGTTGTCCTTGCGCTCGAGCATGTGTGGGTGGAACTGCGGCTGACGGCCCTGGTTCGACCCTGAATAAATTTGCATAATTAATTACTAAGACAAAAAATATATATATCATCAAAAAATTAGTGCCTTTGGATAATTTTTTTTATAATCAATCAATTTAAAGAAATTTTAATTAAAATTATAAAAATACATAAATTCCTTTGAAGCAAAGCATTAATTGACATTTTTTTTTTTCAGTAGTTTATTATTTAAGTTTGAACCATATTTTATTATTAATGTTCATATTGAGAAGATAAAAAGAAATTAATATTGTAATCAATTAATTGTAAAAAATGAATTAAATGCCAATTTTGCAAGTAAACTTATTAAAAAAGTACATTTTTGATCTGAGATGATTAAGCAAAATTGTTTCGTCCAGCAATTTAAAAAAATTCCCTCCAAAATCATTCGATTTATACAATTTTGACACTTTTTAATTTAAAATTTATCATTTTTGTGCAACTTTTGGACTCACCAAGGAGCTGATTCATGTACATGAGCACTCGGACGCGCATGCAGGTCATGGACTCGAGGTTGAGGCTGTGGAAACACTGGTTCATGATGTCCGAGAGCAGCGAGTCTCCGGCCATCTGTCTCTGCAGGACCTCGTTGGACGCCACGTCGGCGGGCATGTGCGGCTGCAGCGCCACGGCGGCGCCGACCAACAGGGACAAGAGCACTATCCTCATGGCTGCTGCTGACTGCTCGAGAGGAAGGACGCGACTAATTGCAGGTGCACGGCTCCAATCTGCTCTTATACCCGGAGCCGTTTGCCAAAAAAGCCGCGCAGGAGGTGGCGCCCCAATGACCCTGCTGCCCGTTGGTCTACAAACCGCCCAAGAATGTGCGTGTCTTCTTCCGTGCCTCACACTCCATGTGGGTGTCGCGCACACCAATTTGCCATGCGGCACGCGTGTCACGCATACCGGCAGGTGCGCGCGGTCAACCGTACTGTTTTTTTATTATTTAAGTCCGACAACTTCCAACTTTTCATTTCTCGACCTCGATTTTCGACCGGATTTGCATCGGGCCGGTTATACGCTCACCGGACAATTGTCATAAATGCACTTATACTTTTTTTTGCCGCTTGGCAATTTCTCATTTTCAGTTTCAACTGCAGCGAAACTGATCCAATATAACGTTGCGATTATTTTGCCAATAAAATGCAGTCCTTGTACTTCAGATTGATCATTTAAAATAATACGAGTTATCTAATAAGTTACTTTAGCAAACGATTTAATTAAAAATTAAGTAATACATCTTTTATATATTTAGTAAAAGGGTTGGAAATAATAAAATCAACTTTGAGTGAAGCTAATTTATCCATCTAATTATGATGTTGTGTTTTTTTTCTTCATTTAATTGCGTAATAAATTAAGCATAACATGAATTAATGAAAATTTAACTTTTTTTCTTTGAAATTTTAGATCTAACAATAAGAATGTGCTAATGTTAATACATAAAATACTGCATCATCCTGTTAGTTTTTTTATAAACAGTAAATAATAATATTAAAATTAATAGATTGTAATTTTTTGTAGTACGAAATTGTATAAAAAAAGCAATTTTCGGATTGAATGATTGACCAAAGGGCAGCACAACCGCTTAATATTTATTAAAATAATTTTCATTTCTTGCAATTTTCAGTCCTGAAAATTAATAAATTTATCTTCCTCACTATTCACATCCTTTCAAATTGAATGCTTATTCGTGAGAGCTCAAGTTCACCTGAACATAGGCAACCTGCTCGACATTCACGTAGGGCGGTACAGTATCTAGTCAAAATTATACATTGCTTTTTATTATTTCTTTGAAGATCTTTGCTTAATTCTCCAGGGTTAACTTTTAAGCAAAGATTTTTTCATTTAGTTAAATTAAAATCAGGAAAAATATTTGAAAATAATACATACAATAAAATTTGTTCCACACAACATAATATTACTATTTCAAATTATTCCATGCTCAATTAGAATGAATTGTTGTTTATTTTTATTAATATAAATTTATTAGGGTTTATATACTTTAAAAATAAGTACGCAGCAATGAGTTTGAACAAAATTATACCTTTATTGTATTGCATTTTTTATGAAAGAAAATTAAGATTAATTATAAATTAACCTCAAGCATTTTGGAGGTTGGTTCAACATTAAAACCTCTTAATTTGTGAATTCTTATTTTTTAATATGAAGTTTGATGCATTTGCAAAATTTTGATAAGGGTTTTGGTTATGATTTGCGATAAAAGGCAGATGTTTTTCTTGGAAGTCGTTTTATTGCTCAACATAAATATAAATTTAACAAATTAATTTTTGGTCTCCAGTCATTTGGTCGTTCGTACAGAAAGGGAAACAAGGTAAAGGGTTGTCGTCGTGTTGAAGGGTATAATTTGCGTCGAAGTGGACAAAACGTGTTGCACACGAGGAGCAAGCAGGGGTTGTGAAGTCACAGACTAGAGGGAATCTCGCGTCTTTGTCCTGAGTCATCACGTGTCGCGGTGTATAAATATATAATTGCCAAATTATTAAAACTTAATCTTAAAAATAATTTAATAAATTAATCTTCGGCTGCGTCCACCTGCAAATAATTATAAATTAGTTTAAAATTTTCAGATTTTTAAATTTTCTACCTGCTTATTCCTGCTTGTGAGCGTTGTAGGCGATGTCCTGGGCCTCGTCGGCGGCGGCCACGACTCCACTGGCGAAGCCACGAGCGTAGTGGGCGTTGTAGGCGTCGTAGGTGGCGTAGTGGGCCTGGGACTGCGAGGCGTCGGCGGCGATCTTCTTGCACAGCTGGAAGACGGCAAGAGCCACGGAGATGACGAACGAGAAGAAGCTGAGCTGCAGGGCGTTCCAGGCCTTCAGACCGAGCACGCCGATGGCCAGGGGCACCAGGGTCATGGCCTTGAGGAGGACGAACACCAGGATGGGGATGATGATCTTCTTCAGCTTACCCTTGCGAGCTGCCGAAAAAAGGAGAAATTAATTCGAGAAAAATAAAAAATTTTAGAAAAAATTTCACCTTCTCCGAGGGACTTGGCTTCGGCCGAGGCGGGCAGTTTGACGGTCAGGGTGAGTTCGTCCTGGTCGATGTTCCTGGGGGAGAAGGAGAACTGGGTGCCGGAGAGGACGCTCATGCCTTCGGGGACGGTGACGTCCACTTCGCTCTCCTTGACGTACTTCTGCAGTCCGGAGAGGAAGTCCTCGTCTTCGAGTGCCCTGGGCTGTTTATTTTTAAAAAAAAAGAAAGGGAGACTTTAACTCTTGAAAGAAGTAAAATTTGGATGATTTTTTACCTCCTCGTGGATGGGCACGGCGAGGGCGCCGAAAGCCAGGCAGGCGACGATCAAACACTTGGCGAACATTTTTCAGTGAGTTGCTTTAGCTCGGAAGGCTGTTGGTTGATCGAATGATGACCATTAGCCGCCCCGGCCACTATTTATACCTCCCACCTGCAGATCGCCGGCGGACCCTTCCTAGCGCGCACTTCCTAAGCCGCCGCCGCGTCCTTAGCATTTCATATTCAGGGCGCGCGGCGAGCGCGTATTAAAATTTAATCCATGCGGCCTTTTCGTACATGGTGCGTGCGCGATCGAGTGACTGACCTATTGGTTCTCATATCTTCTTCTTTCTTTTGTCACACTTTTCGTTTACACCCGCCTGCCTACCTGCGCTGGTCCCGTTTTCACTGCTCTTGCCCAGATCGAAGCAAATGATATTTATTCAGCGTGCCGAATTAAAAAGAAAGTTCGATTTTTTTTAGTCACACAAGCGGATCTTTGAAATTTTTACGCAGCGCATGAATAATTTTCATTGACAAGTTTTGCCGCCAACTTAGTTTCGAGAAGTACAAAACCAATCAGCTTTAAGTCATCAACTTTACTAATAAAATCGTTTAATTTTAAATAAATCATATGCAAATTAAGCCACCAAATTGCATACTTTAGAAATTTTATTATATAAAAAGAATATTTTCTATGTTTAATGTTTATTTCTCTCAAAATTCAGTATGAAAAAGTATTTGATTAATAAATTTACAATTTTCTCATCCAAAATTAAAAAAAAAAAAAATCAAAGATATATTATTTTTGCTTAGTAAAAGTATAAAAATTTGTTTCAAAGCCTAGCAAACGATTCAACATTCAAATAGTTGCAGTCAATAAACGGAAATAAAAAATATCAAGGGATTAAAGAAAAATATTTTAATATTAATTATGTAATTTAATGCAATAAAAAATAATTAATTATTCGGTGTCAGCTCCGTTCTCTTCATTTTTTTTACTTTTAAATTTACATTACATCCGGAATCTATTTAAAATCTGTTGTAAGGAGCTGCTTTCCTAATTTTTGAAGAAAAACTTGAAAGCCAGTTAAATTTTAATTTGATTTTCTTACATTCCAAATCAATTCCACAACTAGAATATTTTGCCTAAAAAATGAAGCTCTAATTAAACATGAAAAATGTAATTTTCCTAAATTATAATAAACTGTCTTATTATATTGAAAAAAAGTATATTTTTTGCATCCTTTGTTTCTATCATTTTTTTCGTAATCTTTATAATTCATAATGTATTCTCAAATTGATCTATGAAAGTTTTTTTAAAGTGAAAGTCTTTTTAGTTTGCACCTTTTTTTAGTGGATCATTTTATTCACATATTTATTTACAATCATTATGCATCAAACTTTTTATTTCCTGATTTTGATCAATTTTATTATGTCGGATGAACGATGAAGGTGAAAATATTGGAAGAACTATCAGGAAAGGAGATTATGCTTTTGTTAGTCAGAGAATTAATTTTTTTCCTCAAAAGAATTTTAACGTGGATTCAGAAACTGAGCGAGAAAAACCAATGCTCGGAAAAACGAATTAAAATGTCCAAATTTCAACTTTTAATTAGAAATTTTAATTATTTTTAAAACAGATTAAAATTTCTGTTTTAAAATAATTAACATTTCCACTTAAAACGCAAACACGACACAACTCTACACTAAAATTTACAAAAAACACACACTCACACTAACAAATTAACAATAATTTTTTTTTTTAATTTCTTTGGGAATAATTAAAGCAAAAATTTCTAAATTACCACGAATCAAACACGCTTTAAATTTTTCTAAGAAATAGTCAAATTATAAAGACCTCCTTAGTAATTAATAAAAATCTATTATTGTTTTAAATTATGTAAACAAAAAGAAAACGGAAATTTTTATGCTACGATATCTTCATATCCATGATCATCGCCTCGAGTATCAATTTCTTGAAACAAATATTTTTTCCTGACTTTAATTAAACAAATTTTTATATCTTTTCATCAGATGATTCAAAGAGTCAGAACTTTTGATATAACTCTCGGCGCGTGTTGTACTGTTACAGCGGCCGGTGGCAAAAAACTGTTATGCAAATCGCAAATTAAACAATATGTGTGTCCTCATGGCCGTGCCGAGACAAAAACGAAAGGCATCGCACCCTCGGATCAATTAAGCGCTGCATCAGTGAACAGTTAGCATTCCCAAATCGAATAAGGGCACAACGGCCATGGCGTCCGTTGTTCAGTTTCCTCCTGCGCGCTCTGCATATTTCTATGTCGGAGCGCGTGGCAATTTGATATTCAGGACGCAGAGGGATTTTTCGGAATCTAACGCGCAAAATGTCCCGTTTGACACATATTTGCACGCGGTTTATCCATAACGCTCATCTTTGGCCCACTCGAATCTGAGTAATCTTAAAAAAAGTAGATACATTTTTCAAGGAAAAATAAAATTGATAATTATCTAACCTTGTTTTATAATTTTTTTTTTATCCTTTCAACAGATCAGACTGAAAGTTATTCTACTTGTACAGAGAAAAATAAAAAATGATTTGAATAAATTTTTGAATTTTACTGCATTTTGCTTTCAAAAAGCATAAATTCATTTAATTTCATTTATTGTGGGTTTTATTTTGATTAAAATAGCTCAGATTTAACGTGAAAAATCAAGTCTTTTTTTATTATTTCGTTCAACTTTTTTTGGCATTAACAACTAATAAAGAAGATTCATAAATAGCGTTTCAATAAATTAAGAGAAATCTTCGCTTTCTTTGGTCGCCGCTCTCTCATTCCTGAGTCCAGCCCTGGTAGGGGAGTTCGCGGCCCCATCCGTGGGTCTCAGGCACTGGGTGGTGCTCGTAGCTCAGGTGAGGCTGGGGGTAGTGGTAAACCTCGTAGTTGACCACCTGTGAAGCAGAAATTTAATTTAAATTTTTTTATATATTTGAAAAATTACCTTAGGCTTGGTGAACTTGAAGACGACCATGGCGGCGGAGAGGACCATGGAGAGCAGACCAAGGGTCAGGGCCTTCCAGGTCTTGAGGGCGATCAGGGCCAGGGCCAGGGGCATCAGGGCGGTGGCTTTGAATTTCAAACCCAGCAAGAAGGGGATCACCACCTTCTTGACGAATCCACGCTCTGGAATTAAATATTGAAAAATTTAATTATATTTTTAATTTAAATTTCTTACGCTGAGCGACGGGTCCATTGCTGAGGGGCACGGTGACCTCGGCGGGGATGTCGATGAGGGACTTGGGCACGTAGCTGGCGAGTCCGACGATCTCCTTGGGGACGCGGATCTTGAGGTCGTGGGTGGCGATGAAGTCGTCGATGCGGTCCAGGGCCATGACCCTGAGGGACTCGCGGCGCTCCTCGTTGTTCAGGGGCAGCTGCTCCATCTCGGCCTGCAGGAAGGTGTCGCTGGGGGTGGGGGCGCCGTCACGACGGACAATTGCCATGTCCTGAGAAATTGAAGTAATTATTTTAGACATAATTAGGGTGACCCAGGCCTTAGGATTTTGGATCGCCCTAATTTAACCGAAAAAAACTTTAATAAATAAAAAATTACAAAATTAGAAATTAAAGTTTTATAATAATTATATGTTAATCTTTTCAATTTTTATACTTTTTCAGATGAAATTATTATTTTTTTTTTAATTTTATTTAAATTAATATATTAACCTTGGTGACGGGGATCTGGTCATGCTTGACGGCGGTGCTGATGAAGGCGAGCAGCTTGGGCTTGACGCAGGACAGCGATCCGTACTGGACGCACTCGTGGTACACGTGCTTGAGCACCTCGATGGCCGTGTTGTCCTTGGTGTTGGCGCCGGCGGCGCCGACGACGGCGATCGCCGCGATGATCAACAGTACTCGTGCCATGGCGGGTCTTGTGCGACGGTTTGATGGGCACTTCGGCTTGGCCGCGCGTTTTATATAGTCGCCCCCACCGCGCGCGTTTTCGTTTTTCAAGTCGCGGCGACGGGTGCGGAATGCAAATTTGAATTCAGCTCTCTGCGCCGTCCCGCTATACATGAATGGGCGCTCTTACTAGTGCACTGGGTCGCACCTCCTTTCCGGCAAACGCGATTTATACACATGTGGGCCTGAATTTTTTTCCCATTGTGTAAAATTGAAAGTGCTGGTGATTTTGTTGATTTTATCAAGACGCAACATCATCAGTAATTTGGCATCAGTCCACCTTTTTTTTATTTACAACCTTTTATTCGTTACAATCCATTAAGTAAGTTTTGAGTCATTGTCATTATTGTTATTATCTAACACTCATAAAATTCGCTTTTTAATTTTCGTTCATCATAGTTCGTCAATAGCATTGTATTTAAAATAAACAGGTTCTTACTAATTGTAAGCAGCAAAAACGAATTTGGTACGTTTGCAGAGTTATTTAATTTTTTTAAATGAATTATATTTATTATATTATAGCATAGCGCTCTTCATTTCAGCTCAAAGACGCTTTACTAAAATAATTAAGGACCTCAAAACTATTTGATAAGCAATAATTATTAAAATAAGCAGATTTAAAAATAAAAATTTGTTTAATTTTTAAACATTATGGAAACATTATCAGTTATGTTGTGGGATAAAACATTGAATTGTTGCACAATATGAAACTAGAGCCATGCAATTTTGTTAAAACTTCTCCGAGATAAAATAATAATAATAATAAAATCCTTGCTATTTCTATTTTTCTACCCTCTTGCTCATAAAAATATACTCTAAAGCTGTTGCAACCGAAATGCTTATTTTTCCACAAAAGTTTCATTTAATGTCAATCCGATGATCAAATTCTTCAATAATTTTTCTTTTCAAGAAGGAAAATGTCGAAAAACCAATATATAGCCTGCGTTTTAAAGTTTAATTAAGCTAAGAGATTTAATAATAACCTATATTGCTTTAATAAATTAAAACAAAAGAAACTGACCAAAAAATATGAAGGAGGAAAATTTATTTTACTAAATTTAGAGGGATTTATTTTCAAATTAAAAAAAAACACACACACACACACACCCTGATTAATAATCTATTTTTTCTCGAAAGATATATATTTTTTTAATGAATTTTCTGATAATTAAAAGATCGGAAAAGAAATTTCAAACCATTAAACAAGAAGAGGCTCACTGCGGCGGATGGGGTCTTCTTGATCTTGGAAGTTTTAGCAAAATTCTTGCTACTGGTGGTGCCGTTTTGTCCAACAATTCCTTTCTTTTCCACAATTGAATAATATAAACAAAGCAATTTGGACAAATAAACAAAAAATTTCAATTTTATTATTAATAATAAAAAAATTTGCAATTTTGACTTCCGCGGAAATAAATTTCTCTCCAAAATTGCGATTAGACGTTTTAATAGAATTTAAGCTTCAATTGTTTCGTTTAAATATCAACTAAAAATTTAACTTCAAGAATGAGGGGAAAATCTGGTTGAATCTGGTTTAAATTTTTCCTCAATACCCCGTTTAATTCTCTTAAGAAATGTATCTTTTTTTTGACAAAATTGTTTCTAAAATTTAAGCGTTTAAATTTATTAACAAATTTCACTACTAATTAAGATCTCAATTATTAGAGGTTGAAACTGGAATAAAACTTAAAACTTTACTATTTGTGGTTATTTGGATCTTAGGGAGAAGTGGCGGCGGCAAACAGAGCACCGCTCGCTCGCTGACAGATAAGAAACTTGACCCAATGGCCTCTAAAATTAGTTTGCCAAAGCAGACGTGATTGAATTCTTAATGGCACGCGCCGTGAATGCCGATCAGCGATTTTTTTTTACTTCCACATATTAATTAGCTCCTCTCTCGTCGGTCACTTTAATTCACGCTTGATAATGGGGAGTAGGACACCTTTTGCTCTAAATACAATTGATTTCTCATTTTGAATTCCCGGAAGTACAGAAGTAAAATTGATATGCAATTTTAGCATAAAAATTATTTTAATTAGCTCATTATCACATCGATTTTACGTTATTAAAAATAAAAATTGATTAATTTAAAATCTTTCGCGCTTTCTTATATGTATATATACTATTAATTGTTAATTCAATGGAGAGAAAAATAGAAAAATACATTTCTATATTTTCTTCATATCGTCCCGAACTCAATTTTTAAAGATTGCGATAAAATAAAAGATTAAAAAAATCCAGTTTTCGCTTCCTAAATTTTATGAAATTGTTTTATAAACAGGATTTTGTTACAGCAATAAATAGTTATCAACTTATGAAGCATTTAATTCCACTATAAAATTTTGAAGTGACTAAATTTCAACGCATTGAGAGTCTTTTTAAATTTCTTTTCCATGTTAAAATTTATCATATCATAATCAATTTATTTATATATTTGTAATTTTGACTGCACTAAACATTCCTATTCTTTACATGTGTAACTGTTTCTGAAAAAAAAATTGCATTTGAAACAAAATCAATTCTTAAATTTAATACAAATTATTATAATTTATTGTTTCATCTCTCCAATTTCAGATCAATCATAAGGGATTTTGTTGAAAAGGGAGCTGATTTCCTATTTAATTTAGAACTTTGAAACGGAATCTGCGTGCCTTGACGTAGTCTTGTCCGCGAACATATCCTGAAAAAGCTTCGAAAGAAAGCTTTGGTTTGGACGTCGAGCGGAACTTTGGCGACCAAAAAAGGATATGCGAGCCACACGCCAGCAAACAGACAACGCACTAGCCATACTTCTTGTATGATTAACAAATAAAATGATGGAAATAGAAATTTTCCTTCTATAAAATAAGGAAATCAACAGAAAATTAAAGTATTTTCCATTATTGAAGTTTGAATTAGTATTCAAATATCACTTGAATAATTACAGAGGATTGATTGAAACTCATTATTGAATAATTTGGTTTTTGAAATAATTAAAAGCTCTGCATAATTATAAAATTTATTTTTATTTATAAGATTTAAGAGACTAATGATGTGAAACCGAATCTCATAATCAAACCGAGAGTTCAGAAAAACTTCTTGATAGACAACCTGCAAGGCACGAGTAATACGCTGGCTGCCTAATGTAATGCTGACCAAAACCAACCTTGTGCCTCGGCTTTTTAAATAGTCGCACGTTTCACAGGCCTCATTGATAACTGTATTTTTTTTAAGCTATTAATTGTTAAAAAGTTAAGTCATTATGAGAAATGATTTACGAATGCATTTTTAAGGTTCTTAAATTAAATATTCAAGTCTCTTTTTTGTCATTAAAATCACTAAAACATAATTAATGCTCATTTTATAAGAAAAATAATTTATCTTTCTTTGAAAGTTCTTATAAAAAAGTAAATTATTTACTTATGTATTTAAAATGAAAATTACATAAGCTGAATTTTTAAACTTTTCATGATTTAATAGCGTTTTCCTTTTCAGTTATTCGTTTGGCTGCTTCGAGGTCATATTTTTGCAAGTGACGCACACCGAAAGGTCTGACATGGTAAACGAGATACTCCATCATGTACATTTTGAATTTATCCATGTAATGGAAAGAGATGACTTCATCCGAGCAATTGTCAACAGTCTAAAATAAATGAAAATGAATATTATTATTGTTGTTTATTTGTCCACATTGTTACAAATACATTGTTTACATTCAATTTTTGGAAAACAATTATTTAGAAAAAAAAGAGATTGTTGGACAAAAAGGCATCACCACTAGCAAAAATTTTGCTAAAACTTCCGAGATCAAAAAGACCCCATCCGCCGCAGTGAGCCTCGGTAAAAAATTGATAAAAAATAATTAATTTAGCGCAAAAACCGACCTCATCGGATGGCCACCAAATATAGTCCCAGTACCACCAGTCCTTTGAATCTTTATTGTGAGGGTGCGTGTGCCATTCAGAGTCAAATGGGAAAAACCGATTTCTCCCGAGGGCATCTCGGGATTCTCCTATTTTAACACCCACGGGGTAGAGGCACTGCGCTATAATGCAATATCAATTTATAGACCATTTTTTCTAAGGAAGAGAAAATTTTAACTGATGTTAAAATCGAGGGAAAAATTGTCAATCCATCTTTCAAATACAAGGTAACTTTTTCTCAACAACGAATTTTAACCTCAAGAAACATAAATAATACGATTGAAATTTTTCAAAAATTGGTTGAATTAAAATTTGAAACCGTGGAAAAATCCTGATTTTGACAAGGATTAAGGATGCAATTTTTTTCCATGCGTTAATAGACTTTGGAGATGCAATTTTCATTATTTATAGTCCCGTCTATCGCGAATTAGAACAATTAAAATATGCGAGCATTCTAGTGAAATTTTGATTTTTTTACCGATTAAGACGTCATCAGCTTCACTCTCATAAGTACTTAATTTGCAGTCTTTATGCTTCCCATCAAATGCTTCCGTAACAACCCTTCTTACCGCCTCTTTGCTAAGAACAAACCCTGCAATACAAATTTATTTAATTTAAGTTTTTATTTTAATTATTCAAAATGTATTTTTTCCACCTGCTCCTCCACTCATGAAGCCATCAGGCGTGAACCGCCGAAATCTAGACCCAAAGTAAATCGGATCTTCCGGCGAATATGGCAAAAGCATTTTGCGCAAATTTTCCACAATTACATAACTATTTCAAAATTAATATTTATGGTAGCAAAAATTATAAGCAATATTGATACATACGTGTCATCATCTGCCTTCATCACCCAGTCATATTCGCCACTGCAATTTTGATACACGTACTTAAAAGCAGCGACAGTTTTGCTCCAAAGCCCCTGCCTTCCAAGCGAACTGTTAAAAACTCCTGGCAGTTTCAAGGCAGGTAGGCTCTCGTCTGCTTAATTAATTTTCATAAATATTGAAAACAGTTCAATTTTGATAGGCCAAAGATTATTCATTTTTAATTTAAATTTCGAATGCAGGAAAAATCGGATGATTAACGTTGAAATCGCAATTAAAATTTCAAATATAGATTTTTGTCATTTCTCACCAAAAGTTTGTGAACCTCCAGGTTTAAAGCAGTAGCATTTTAACAATCAGTACTTGAATTGAGGTTAAAATTCATTTGGCAGTAAAATAATCTTGAAAACTGAGGGATTCAAATATTTCAAAATGAAAGAATTGCAATAATAATTTAATTTTCATCACCAAATTTTAAACTAATAAGTTATGCGAAATTGTGTAAATTTTTTATATTCGACATTAAAAAAAATCATTTCTTGACTTAAAATTTAAAACTTGCCCTCCTCGTTGCTGATGAAAATGAGCTTGTTGCAATGTCGTCCCCAAGTGGCTTTCACGTGAACTGCTTTCTCTTCGTGATTTTCAGGGGTCGTCATCACCCAGCAAAGAACGCGGACGTCCTCCGACATTTTTCTGGCCTCCATTTCTTCCACCCCTAAACTCTGATTGATAATTGATATATTAAATATTTTTAGAACTCACTGAGCAGCAGTTCTTTGGCCAGTGAAGAATTTAGTTCCTTGTCGCGACTCATCTGGATCAAACTTTTCTCAGCGACTTCGTTCCGAATCAAATTTCTCGTTGCCGAAGGAAAATCAACCGATTTTAACTGGCAAATTGCAAATCCTAAGGCTAGACCAAGCGCAAACACAATCGCAACTGATGGGGTCCAACGCCGCGGCTTAAATACAGCATCTAAAATAATATAAAAGAATATTTTCTCATGTATCAATTTAAATTTTTGTAATTTTTTTACCATATATATTATTAAAAGTATAATTTTTAAGTATTCTTCTATTTCTAAGTAATTAAATTTCAATATTTGTTAATATATTCAAATTTTTAAGCAACTTACCCATTTGTGGTTGAATAATGTAAATTTGTCGTAACGAAAATAAATTTCTTTTCGGCCTTCAAATGGCAAAACGAGGTGGCATCGCGCAGACACACAAGAACACAATACCTGATTATCAAAACTGCTTTAGTGGTTTTATAAATCTCACTCTTTGTTTACGAGATAAAAGCTTCACGCGCGACTGTGACACTTTGGAAGCGCATTCCAGGCAAAAAGAGCTGAGGTTGCTTATTATTTTGGCTTTGCTCTCAATTCATGCGACCCGTGTTTTATTTATTTTGCTTAGAGATGCATGTCTGATGAACTTCACTTCACCTATAAATGCGTTTCAAAGTGAATGATTGTTTCTTCTAGAAGAAAAACTTTTTCAACTGGTTTTTTCAACAAATAAAAGGAAAAAATGTTTTTTACTTTTAGAAATAATATATGCTTATAATATCAAATTATTAAATTCCAATTGATCCAGTTCAGTTTTAATTTTTGTAACTTTGTACTTCTCTTGTTGACCTCAAATGTTTAAATTATTTATGAAATATGATAATCTATTTATGTTTTAGGAAATTCAAGGTTAATAAAGATAATTTTACGCTCATCTTCATTAAAAAATGTGATTATCACGCTTTATTTTATGATAAATTCGACTCATTTTTTCAATAATTTAATTTACTTATTTATACAATTATTTAATTTTTTTATTCTCCATCAAATTAATCAGGAACCAAAAAACATTGCTATTAAGCTCACATAAAATTTAATGAACTTCTGGGCACCGTAGCTAGAGGAAATAGCGTCACAGATAATTAAACGCAAGCAAAAGAAAAAAACGATAAGCATTTCATCGAAAGGAGAATAATGTGTATGAAATCGTCACTAAAATTTAATTTAAGTAAATTTATCTCTATCAGCAGGAACACGAGAATTTTTAATTTAGTGGTTTAAAATTATTTAACTTCTTTTAATTGTCGATAATTAGGATAATTTATAAATCGGCTGACGATTTTAATAAACACTCATATAAACTTTTTATAGAGCATAATAATAAGTAAATTTGGCACAAAATTTGAAGCTTTTTTCCTTTTTTGTATTAAATTTTTATCAACTTGTATTTAACACTATATAAAGTCAAAAATCAAAGAAAGTCTTCGTTTTTGGAAATGAAAATTGTAATGTTTTCGATTTTTTTTTTTATTTTTCATAATTATCATATTTTTTGAAATGCCGCACACCGAAAGGTCTCACGTGGTAAACGAGATACTCCATCATGTACAGTTTGAATTTATCCATGTAATGAAAAGAGATGACTTCATCGGAACAATTGTCAACAGTCTAAAATAAAAAAATGAATATTTTGTTATAAAATAATTAATTTAGCGCAAAAATTGACCTCATCGGATGGCCACCAAATATAGTCCCCATACCACCAGTCCTTTAAATCATTGTGAGGGTGCGTGTGCCATTCAGGGTCAAACGGGAAGAACCGATTTCTCCCGAGGGCATCCCGGGATTCTCCAACTTCGACACCCACGGTGTAGAGGCACCCGGCTGATAAATATACAAAATTTATTGCCAGACCCGCAATTTTTCTAACGGAAGTAAAAAATTCACGATTTGGGGGAGGGGGAATAATTATTAACCCTACTCAGCCTTGGGGTAAAACCTTGGAAAATCTCAAGAAAAATATAAATGTTTTCATGCTCTAGATGTTGAAAATTTCATTTTGGTATGAATTTTTTACCAGTTTGAAACATTCCTTTTCTGGAATACATATTAATTACATCAAAAATGAAAAAATTATCGGATCGGTTTAGTTAATTATAAAAAAAAACGAAGCTTTTACTGATACCAATGTTGAAGTCTTCATAAAATGCATCAACAGTACTTAATTCGCAGTCTTCCTGCTTCCCATCAAATGCTTCCATTACAACCCTTCGAACTGCCTCTTTGCTAAGAACATACCCTGCAATTTATATTTTCAATTTGTTTTTATTAAGTATTTTATTCCACCTGCTCCTCCACTCATGTAGCCTTCAGGCATATTCGGATTCTTAATTCTAAACCCAAAGTAAAGTGGATCTTTCGGCGAATATGGCAAAAGCATTTTGCGCAAATTTTCCACAACTACGTAACTATTGAAGCAATTAAACTTTTTATATAAAGTTACAAAATATATACTTACGTGTCATCGTCCGCTTTCAATACCCAGTCATATTCGTCACTGCAATTTTCATGCACGTATTTAAAAGCAGCGACAGTTTTGCTCCAAAGCCCGTCTCTTCCAGGTCTCACTCCGGGTAGTTTCAAAGCAGGCAGACTCTCATCTGATTAATTAATTAAAAAATAAATTTAAAAAAATCTTTAATTAGGAAAGCCGATTAAATTGGATGATCAACGTTAAATCGCGAGAAAAAAATTTTAAACAGTTTTCTTTTTCCCATGTTAGAACCTCAGATTCAAAATTAAAATTTATATCTAGATCTACGAGTAGCATTGCCAATATTATTTTAGCTTTGTAAAATTATTTAATTACTCATTAAACAAAATTAAGTGAATTGTCAATCAGGACCTAATTTGGATTTTTAATGGTGGCAAATCTTTAAGTTCAAATATTTCAAAATTGGAGTGATGCAATAATTTATTTTTGATACTTTTAGGTAATGAAAAGTCAGGAAATTGTAGAAATTTTCAGAATTTCTAATTAAAAAATGTCTCACTGGAAGACTGAAAACTTGCCATCCTCATCACTGATGAAAATGAGTTTGTTGCAATGTCGTCCCCAAGTGGCTTTCACATGCACGGCTTTCTCTTCGTGATTTTCAGGACTCGTCATCACCCAGCACAGAACGCGGACGTCCTCCGACATTTTTCTGGCCTCGATTTCTTCCATCTCTAAAGTATCAGGATGAACATTGATCTTTTAAATTTTAACGTAAACTCACCGAGCAGCAGTTCTTTGGCCAGTGAAGAATTTAGTTCCTTGTCGCGACTCATCTGGATCAAAGTTTTCTCAGTGATTTTGTTCGGAATCGAATTTCTTGTTTCCAAAGTAGTAAAGTTAATTAATTTGAGCTGGGAAATTGCAAATCCTAAGGCTAGACCAAGTGCAAATACAATCACAATTGATGGCGTCCAACGCCGAGGCATAAATAGAGAATCTGAAATTAATTGATTTACAATTATAATTAGGGTGATCCAAATCCTAACCTGGCCCCCGGCTTAATTAATCCATAAGCTTAATTGAATGGCGGGTTAAGTTAGCCTGAGCGAAATGCTATAAATAAATTTTCCTTAAATTTCAACGTTCTTTGCAACGATGAAAATTTTCAATTAAAAATTACTTTTGTAAAAATTTTTACTCTTTTGAGAGATTCATTTGTTTTAGCCGAAAAAATCGAATAATATTCAAAAGTCTCTTATTAAAAAATAATTTATCCCAGGCTAGAATATAACTTAGCCTGGTTCAGTTTTAAGCTTTACGACCGCCCTGACTACATATTTATGTTTTTTTTTGCTCTATTATCAAAATTTCTGGCAATTTGTTTTCCAAAAATGGAACTTTTAATTAAAAATTCTTTTTTTATTGAAGTGTCTTTTGTTTTTTACTTATATTATTTTGAAAAACAATTGAAATGTTGGAGTAAAAATTTATACTAATGAAATAGTCACTTGTTTAGGGTTTTGTTTAATGTGTAAGCAACTTACTCATTTGTGGTTAATATGAATAAAGAAAATTTGTTGCACTGAACTTTCTTTTCGGCTTTCAAATGGCAAAACGAGGTGGCATCGCGCAGACACACGGCACACAAAATAATGATTTTCAAAACTGCTTTAGTACCTAAAAAAAAATCTCACTCTTTGTTTACGAGATAAAAGTTTCACGCGCGACTGTGACACTTTGAAAGTGCATTTCATGCAAAATATAACAGCTGAGAGGTTGTTTATTATTTTGTCTTTGCTCTCCATTCTTGTGACCCATGCTGATCTTCACTTCACCTATATAAATGCGAAATGCGTTTCAAATTTAAGTATATCTTCTATAGTAAATTTTTTTCAACAAATGCAGTAAAAAATGGTAATTTTTGAAAATTTCAGTAAAAATGCTTTATTTAAAATTTTGGCATTAAACTTGTAGCTTATATTTTGAACTAAAAATTATTAAAAACTTAACAATTCAATTTCATGTGAATGACTTTAATCAAACCTTCGTGGTTTCGGAGATTAAAATATAAATTAAATGCATTTTAATAATGTTTTTAATTTATTTAGTTTTTATTTCATATATTTTTAGGTTTATCATATTTTTTCAAATGCCGCACGCCGAAAGGTCTCACGTGGTAAACGAGGTACTCCATCATGTACATTTCGATTTTATTCATGTAATGAAAAGAGATGACTTCATCGGAACAATTGTCAACGTCCTAAAATATTAGTGAATATTTTGTTATGGACGAATTGAAATTAATAAAATGAAGCTCAACCTCATCGGATGGCCACCAAATATAGTCCCCATACCACCAGTCCTTTAAATCATTGTGAGGGTGCGTGTGCCATTCAGGGTCAAACGGGAAGAACCGATTTCTCCCGAGGGCATCTCGCGAATCTCCAACTTTGACACCCACGGAGTAGAGACACTCGGCTGAAAAATATACAAAATTTGATTCATGATTCGCTTTTCTTCTGGCGAAGAAAATAAAATGTCACGATTGGGGTGGAAAAATACTTTTTAACCCTACTTAAGGAGCGGCGGAATTGGGAAATCTCAGAAAAATGAGGGTCTCAAAATGCATCCGCAATAGATGGTGAAAATTTAATTCTGGCATGAATTTTTTACCAGGTTGAAAATTTTCTTTCGTGGACTATATACAGAATTAAAAAAACTGAAAAGTTACTTTGGTTTAGTGAAAATAAAATATTTGCGAGGATTTTACTGAATTTGTGTTTTACCTAATTTGATATCTTCATTCAATGCAACGACAGTACTTAAATTGCTGTCTCTCTGCTTCCCATCAAATGCTTCCGTTACAACCCTTCTAACTGCCTCTTTGCTAAGAACATACCCTGCAATATACATTTTCAATTTATAAGTTTTTTTTAAGTATTTTATTCCACCTGCTCCTCCACTCATGTAGCCCTCAGGCATAAATGGCTTCAATCTAAACCCAAAGTAAAGTGGATCTTTCGGCGAATATGGCAAAAGCATTTTGCGCAAATTTTCCACAATTACATACCTATTTAAAAAAAATTAATATATTTCAAAGAAAAATTAAATATTTTTACGTACGTGTCATCATCTGCCTTCATGACCCAGTCATATTCGCCACTGCAATTCTCATACACGTATTTAAAAGCAGCCTCAGTTTTGCTCCAAAGCCCGTCTCTTCCAGGCATAACGCCAGGCAGATTCAAAGCAGGTAGACTCTCATCTGATTAATTAATTTTAATAAATTCAAAAAAAATAAATTTTACTTTAATTAGAAAACAGATAAAATCGGATGATTAACATTAAATCGTGAGAAAAAAATAATAAACTGAGTTTAATCTTTTTCCGTTTTCCGCCATAACCAGGTTAAAGCCTCCGTTTCAAGATTAAAATTTATATCCATTATAACCATATTTTTTAGCTTTGTTGAATTATTTATTTACTCTGTTATCAAAATGAAGTGATTTCTCAATCAGGACTTGAATTGAATTTTTAATGGCGGCAATTAATTTTCATAAAAAACAATTCAATTTCAATGGGCCAAAGATGATAATTTATTTATTTTCAACTAAGAATGCAGGAAATATCGGACGATAAACGTTGAATCGCAATAAAAAAAATTTTAAACCGATGTTTTACTTTGACTTTTCAGAACCTTCTTAAAAAAAATCATACAAAAAATTGGAATATTAAAATTAAGTGATTAAAGGTTTAAATTCATTCGGCAGTAAAACATCTTAAAAAAACTGAAAGATTTAAATATTTCAATATTAAAGTGATACAATAATTTAATTTTCATCACCATATTTTGAGTGATAAAATTGTGAAAAATTTTTCATTTTAAAATGATAATTAATTGATTTTAAAACTTGCCCTCCTCGTTACTGATGAATATGAGTTTGTTGCAATGCCGTCCCCAAGTGGCTTTCACGTGAACTGCTTTCTCTTCGTGATTTTCAGGACTCGTCATCACCCAGCACAGAACGCGGACGTCCTCTGACATTTTTCGGGCCTCGATTTCTTCCATCCCTAAATTCTGATTGATAATTGATATTTTTAAATATTTTTAGAACTCACTGAGCAGCAGTTCTTTGGCCAGTGAAGAATTTAGTTCCTTGTCGCGACTCATCTGGATCAAAGTTTTCTCAGTGATTTTGTTCGGAATCAAATTTCTTGTTTCCGAAGAGGAAAAATTAATTGATTTGAGCTGGAAAATTGCAAATCCTAAGGCTAGACCAAGCGCAAACACAATCGCAACTGATGGGGTCCAACGCCGAGGCATAAATAGAGAATCTGAAATGAATTGATTTACAATTATATTGAGGGCGATCCAAATCCTAACCTGGCCCCCGGCTTAATTAATCCATAAGCTTAATTGAATGGCGGGTTAAGTTAGCCTAAGCGAAATGCTATAAATAAATTTTCTTAATTTTCAACGTTGAAAATTTTCAATTAAAAATTACTTTAGTAAAAAAATTTACTCTTTTGAGAGATTCATTTGTTTTAGCTGAAAAATTAAAATAATATTCAATAGTCTTATATTCAAAAATAATTTAACCCAGGCTAGAATATAACTTAGCCTAGTTCAGTTTTAAGCTTTACGACCGCCGTCACTACATATTTATGTTTTTTTGCTCTATTATCAAAATTTATGGCAATAATATTTTCCAAATCTGGAAATTTTTTTTTTTTATTGAACTGTCTTTTGTTTTTGACTTATATTTGCAAAAGAATTAAAATGTTGGAGTAAAAATTTATACTAACAAAATAGTCACTTTGATGTGTAAGCAACTTACTCATTTGTGGTTATAATATGAATAAAAACAATTTGTTGCACGGAAACTTCCTTTTCAGCTTTCAAATGGCAAAACGAGGTGGCATCGCGCAGACACACAGCACACAAAATAATGATTTTCAAAACTGCTTTACTACCTAAAAAAATCCCACTCTTTGTTTACGAGAAAAAAGTTCCACGCGCGACTTTGACACTTTGGAAGTGCATTTCATGCAAGAATAAAAGCTGAGAGTTTGTTTATTATTATTTTGACTTTGCTCTTATTTTGCACGTCTGCTGAACTTCACCTATATAAATGCATTTTTAAGTATTGTATTTCTTCTAAGTAAATTTTTATCAATTTTTTCCCCAAAAAAGGCAGTCAAAAATTGTAAACATAAATTTTTGAAAACTCCAAAAAAAAAAGCTTTATTAAAATATTAGTTTGAAGAAGTTGACACTCGAGGAGATGATCATGGAAATGAAGAGATCGGGCTTTCTTGTATTACTAATACAAGTATTCTTGTATTAGTCAGCGAGCAGCGCGTTTTGCTCATGAAATAGGGTCGCAGACCGTGACCGAAACTGGTAGAGCCATTTGTTTTTGAATAAAAACAATTTTTCTGCAACGAGGAAAAGCCCGATCTCTTCATTTCCATTAAAATATTAATTTTCAAATGATTCCAATCAGTTTTAATTTTTGAAAATTAACAGGTTTTGGAATCGTCTTGTTGACTTCTACAAATTACATCCTTTAGGGCACAGGCCAAGGTTGATTTTTTTAATTATTATGAAATATTCAGAAAATTCAAGGATAGTGGTGAGATCATTTTACGTTCTATATTTAAAAAGGTGATTTGTATTCGTATTTTGATTATATTCCATGCTTATTTTTATGTTTTGAAAAATTCATTTACTTTTTCTTTCATTTATTGTCTAATTATTTATTTGTAAATATTTTCATCTATTCAACAGGTTCCATCCTAAAAAATATTACGCGAATAATTTTAGGCATATTAATAATATAAATGCTGACGTGTATATTTTTTAAGAGCTGAAAATAAAATACTTGTTAATAGGTAACCTGCAAATGCACGCTCAACACTGCCTTTTACAGATCGTCATATCAGAACTGCTAAAGTGCTTATAAAAATCTATGGTTTCGAGCTAAGCACTCCAGCGACCGCGACATACTAGAATTCGCATCCCAGGCAAAATAAAAACGCTGAGGTTTTACTTTTTTTACTTTGCTTTTTCCTTCTGCATTTTAATAACTTCTGCTTAAACTAATTCATTCATTTAAATTTTCCAAAAAAAGTGTTTTTTCATCAATTTCAGTTTTTTGTCGACAAATCTATAACAATAATCAGAAAACTTATTTTGAAATTCTACGCTACATTTCCCCAATTTATATATAATCACTTTGATTTTTTATATAAAAAATTTGATTTTTTTTTAGAGGTTATTTAGTTAAAATCTAATTTTTTCAGATGGCTCTTTTCCAAAAATTAAAAAGCGGACGGAAGAAAGCATAGTGGTCGCAGGAGTTTATAGAGCACAGAAAAATAATAAGCAACCTCAGTTATTTGATTTTTGCCTGGGATGCAAATTCTTTATGTGTCACGGGGTCGCGAGCAAACAAAGAGTTTATATAATATATTTTTTTGTAAGCATTTGAGCAGTTTTGTAAATTAGTTCTGCGTTGCTGTGGGTCTGCGCAATGCTATCTCGTAATGTCAGTCGAAAGCTGACGAAAAGAACTTTTCATGGTTAAAATATCAATGGGTGAGTTGCTAAGTGCAAAACCTTTGAAATTCATTTTAATTTGTTTGCTGTCTATTTCTTTTAGAAAAATTGAAATACTTTATTTTCATTCGGAAGAAAAAATAACATTTTTTTAATTACATAATTTTATCTCAATTTTTTAGCTGGGCGTGTGACGCCCAAAAATGTGATTTTCTTTGCACATGGTCTGGCCTTAGGATTTGCATTGTGCTTGTTCAGATCGATGGATTTTTGTTTCGTTCCGAACAAAATCGATAGCAACGTCACTGGGAAAACTTTGGTCCAGATGTTTCACGACAAGGAACTAAATTCTTCACTGGCCAAAGAACTGCTGCTCAGTGAGTTTACGTTAATTTTAAATACGAAATATTAAATCAGAATTTAGGGGTGGAAGAAATGGAGGCCCGAAAAATGTCGGAGGACGTCCGCGTTCTTTGCTGGGTGATGACGAGTCCTGAAAATCACGAAGAGAAAGCAGTCCACGTGAAAGCCACGTGGGGACGGCATTGCAACAAGCTCATTTTCATCAGTGATGAGGATGGCAAGTTTTAACTGTTTTAAAGAACCACATCATTAAAATTTTTAATATTCAAGATTTTAAAAACTAAAACATAGAATTCACGAGAGAAATATTTGAAAACCTAATCTTCCAGCAAAATAATTAAAAATTAAAGAGAAGACCTGATTGTTAAATCACCAAGGTTTAAATATTTTTGGCGGGAAAAATGAAAAATAAAATAGTTTAATTCGCAGAGATCTCGACTTTGGTCATCAATAAAAATATATACTATAAAATGGGTTTTGGTCTTTAATTGATTATTTTACTCAAGCTTATTCTATAATTCAGATGAGAGTCTGCCTGCTTTAAAATTGCCTGGCGTTAGGCCTGGAAGAGACGGGCTTTGGAGCAAAACTGTCGCTGCTTTTAAATACGTGTATGAAAATTGCAGTGGCGAATACGACTGGGTCCTGAAGGCAGATGATGACAGGTACGTAAGAATATTTGAATTAATTGTTTGTAAAATTTTGAAATTTTCTGTGTTTCAATAGTTATGTAGTTGTGGAAAATTTGCGTAAAATGCTCTTGCCACATTCGCCGAAAGATCCACTTTACTTTGGGTTTAGAATGAAGCCGTTGTCAAGGTCGATGCCGTTGACGCCTGAAGGCTACATGAGTGGTGGAGCAGGTGAAATAATACAATAAAATGAGAATGAACAATTGAAAAGAATTATTTTTATTATATTTCAGGGTATGTTCTTAGTAAAGAGGCGGTTAGAAGGGTTGTTACGGAAGCATTTGATGGGAAGCAGAAAATCTGTAGATTAAGCACTGATGAAAATTCCGAGGACGCCAACATGGGTAATTTTAACGAAAAAATTTCATGAACCAATCGCCGTTAATTTCATCATATCAAGCTTTCCTCAATATTTAACTTGAACCTATGGGAAAAGCACAATTTTAGGGACTATTTTTAGTTCCGATTTTTTTTTTTTAAGTCCAAAACAATCGCTGGTATTTTAATGAAAATTTTAAATTTCAGGAGAATGCGTTTACTCCGTGGGTGTTAAAACGGGAGATTCCAGAGATGCCCTCGGAAGAAATCGTTTCTTCCCTTTTCAACCTGACCTCCATACGCAACCTTTCTCAGATACAAGGGACTGGTGGTTCTGGGACTATATTTGGTGGCCAACCGAAGAGGTCTGATTTTCGCTTAAATTATTTTATTCCCTGCTTAATTATTCACGTTTTTAAGGGGATTGACAATTGTTCCGATGAACTCGTCTCTTTTCATTACATGGATAAATTCAAAATGTACATGATGGAGTATCTCGTTTACCATGTCAGACCTTTCGGTGTGCGGCATTTCAAAAAGTATGACAATGAGGAATATCAGCGGATAAGTAAAATTGAAAATCATTAAACAGAAAGCATTTGATTTATTTATTTTAATCTCCAATACTACTAAGGCGTGATTTAATAATTGATGCTTTAAATATTAGTGAAAAATTACAAGTTAATTCATCTTTATACAAAAATTTTAAAGTTTTTTTTTGCCAGAAATTATTATAACATTATACACATTGAAGAAAGATAATTAAATAATGAATGAAACATAAAAACATGACTCTGGCTGATTTTAATTTATTTTTAATTCTCAATTTTTTTTAATAATAAGAAAATGTTATTCTTAGATCGTGCGACCCCCTTTTTTTCTTTCTATCCAGCTATCAATAATGGTCGTAAAATTCTGTGCAATTAATTTTTTTTATGCACTAGAGCCAAATATAATGTTGAAATCTGGATACTTTTAAATTAAAAAAGCAATCATCAATAATCTAATTAAGATTAATTTTCTTCAATTGTGTATTGCAGTAAAAATAAAAGCTTTAGGCTTTTTTTCAATATTTTCAATGGAAACCTGAGGAAGACAATTGAGAACTATAAAATAAATATTCAAATTTAAGTTTATCATTGTAATTACCAAAAATTGTTGCAAACCTTTGTAGCTCATGAGAAATTATACATCATTTCTGCATTCAACTTGCGATCTACGTTGAGACCATGAGCCATTTTTATGAAGAGAACAAAACGAAAAACATAGAATCTGCAATTTTTTTAACCTTTTGCTGGATTTTTTGGTGTAAATATTGAGTTGCGAATTTAAATTTCCAACCATTACTATTTGTCCAGCAATTTTTTTCTGCCGGAATATTTACTTTTAATTTTCCAGACTAATTCGCATTTGAAAACGAGTGTTTTTTTTTTCTTCATAATTTGTCATAAATGAAGCCACCACGTATAATACGATGAGTTTGATAAACATGTAATTACCTCGCCAAAAGGAAACGTAGGCGGGCAAACGATAAGAATTTCAACAAAAGGGGAATATTTCTTATCGTCTTTTGGGGAAGTCGCTGCGATAGAAAGGTGTTTTTTTTTTCATTAAGAGGACCGGGCAGGACGCAACATGTTTCATAGAAGAATATATCCGTGGTTTTACCTTATTTCAATTATTTTGCTGCTTTCCATTGCCTGGAATATGACTAAAAAATGTGAGCTGGAGGTGGAGCTCCAGAAATTAGGTAAAATTTCCTCATCTCTTGTTTTTTTTATTTAAAAAATAATTAATTTTTAAAGTAATTGCCAAACTTTCGAATGAGGAGAAATCTACAGAGCGCAGTACCAGGAAGAAACAATCAATAGAATCTATTAAATTAAAACAAGAACAAATTAAAAATCTTTTGCACGGTGGAATTCGAACAAACCCAACAGATAAATCCAAGCCGATCAGCAAAAGGATGCAGGAAATTTTGAAAAAGGAAAGAGTTCTGAACGAAACAGCGAAATCAATGGAAGGTCTTGATCAGTTTGACGCCAAATTGGTCCAGTACACGAGAGACACGATTCTGATCCCGCCAGAAGAATATTCCGCAAATGACACGACAAGTCGATTGCTTATTGATGAGAAATACGATCCGTCTGTGATGCAAGTCGCGTCGAAAATTATAAAATTGCTCAAGCACAGGGTAACCAGAAAAGATACGAAAAAATTTCAATATTTATATTTTAAAAATGAAGAAAAACGGATTTGTCGTTGAGTGTGGTGTGTGGGACGGCATCGCTCAGTCCAATTCGTTGCTTTTGGAGATTTTTTACAACTGGACTTCCCTGCTAATCGAAGCTGCGCCGACCGAGGTGAGAAAAGTAGAAGCGAGGAGAAACCGGGCTTGGATTGCTCCAGCTTGCCTCAGCACGAAACCATTTTCAAATACGGTATAAAAAAGATGAATATTAAAATGTAAAAAATTCATAATGAAATAAAAAAAGGTTAAATTTCTAGACCACTCCATGTTTGGAATGATTGTTGGCCCGACGACCAATTTAACTGAAAAGGACAAAACTCTCGTCCACAACGTCCTCTGCATTCCCTTCATGACGTTCATGCAGGCGTTGAACAGAACGTCCATCGATTATTTCAGCCTCGACGTCGAGGGCAGCGAAATGGAGATTTTGCCTCTAATCGATTTCGAAAAGATTAAAATAGACGTATGTAAATTAAAAAAATAAATTTCCAAAGCAGTATTTGAATGTTTTGACAGGTGATGACGATAGAACACCAACTTCTACCGGGAAAACTGGGAAAGATGGTCAACTTCATGGCTGCAAAAAACTTTACCCTTCATTCGGCGACGTTAGTCGATTTTATATTTGTTAACAATCGTCTGGGTTTGACCTAAAAATACAACGAGAATCGCTTAAAACTCTTCTGATCAACGTAATTATATATTATTTTATTTTAACACGAAAAAATCTACATGTTTACCACCAGATATAGCCAGAATTTTGCCATTATAATTTTCTTTTTAATTTTCTATACACACCACCGTGAATTAAAATTTTTTATTAAATAAATAAAATGGTTTATAAAAATATAAAATATTCTTAAATTGCATTTCTTCTAATTTTCACATTTTTTAAAAACTTGAGCAATTTTCTTTTTTGTTCATTGCGAGATAAACACATGTTTTCTCCTTCTTAACAAACACATTAATTGATGCCAAAATGTTTCGTCTTATCATTCTCCGAAGCGAACGAGTTCCAAGAAAAACAAATGTCCATCAGTCAAATCCGCAAGGCGCGTGACCTTTATTGAAAATTTATTGGTGATCTACCAGCGCGGCATAATTTTATCACATCAGCAGTCGTTCCCCACCCGACAATAAGTTATCAATTTTCTCCAGAAATAGTTTTTAGGAGAAAGAGACGCAAAACCTTAACATTGATCCTCGCGACTGGTTTGGTCAATGGTGATTTAATGGTAAGCGAGCAATTTTTCTATAAAATATAAATTTATTTCAGGCTATCTGAATTTTTAATTTCTGCAAATAATTATACTGGCCAAAGTGGTTGAACATTTGATATTATATTATTTATAACTTCATGAGAGGTATTGAGAAAAATTATAATTATACGCTTATTATTTTTATTAATTAGTCACAAATCAAATGATTAAAAAAATATTTTTGAATGCAGACGTGTGACAGTAATTTGTGTTCAAAAATTAAATAATTTTTCAAAATATTTTCTAATTTGATCCTGAGTTAGGAGAAACTCCGGGTTTTTAACTAATTTTAAGCAAACATTTTTGAAAAAATAAAATTTATAAAATAAACAGAAAAATATAAAAACAAAATCTTTGAAACTGAAAAAAAATTGTATTAATTAAATTATCATATCATGTAAAACTGACGTAATAAGCCATAATTTACTTCAAAATGAAACAAAATATTTGTGAATTTCGTACAATTATGTGGAATTTGGCAAAATTAATTCATTGGTAAAAATTGTTTTAAAAATTTGTGTCTTTTAATTTAAAATATTTTATTAAATTAAAATTTACCATCTCAATTATTTTTTTATAGAAACTTCTCCTGTTTCTGCCTTACATACTGCTCCTCGCTGCAATTTCTTGCGAGGAGCTGGAAAAGCCAGATGTGGACAAACTTTTCAAGGTAATTTAGGAAAAAAAATAATTCGTAAAACTTTATTTTCCTTTTCAAATTTTGAATCATTAAAAAATTTCAAAAATTAAAAGCTAATGCATTTAGAAATGAAATTTAATTTTTTTAATAATTTTTTAGGATGGCCAATCAGCGACGCATTTGATCAAGGGCAACGATGAGTTTATCATCCTCGTCGGTTCAACTGGCACAGGTAAAAGCACCTTGTCCAAGTTTCTGCGGAAGGACGAAACGTTGACGATCGTGGAAAATGAGCAGCTATTTTGCATTTTCACCGACAACGAAACTCGAATCGGCAGCTCGGACAGCTTGACTTCCAAGACCTTTTTCCCAAACACTGATCTAGACTTTCAAACTGGTCTTCCTATCGTCGACATGGCTGGTTTTCGGGACACGCGCAGCGCCGAGTATGACTTGGTTGCCGCTTTCTTCAACAAGGAAGTTTTGAATGGCACGAGCAAAATGAAAATCGTGATCGTGGAAAATTACTCCAATATTAAGCTCAACAATGACCGCACGGCTTTTGTCACAACAATAAAACACGTAACCCAGCTTTTGAAAGGAAATACCGAGTCACTTGCCGAATCAATCAGTCTGGTCGTCACCAAAGTAAACGCGGATAAAAATGATTTGCTAACAATTAGAGCAATTGAAGTTTTTCTTGAAAAGGTTGAGCAATATTTTAAGCGACAGATGGATAATTTAACTAAAAGTAATGACACGTCCTTGATTACTAGTTTGAGGGAGCAAATATCGCTTGTGAATTACATAAAAGAAAAAGAAAACATTGCCATTTTCCGTGAGCCTAAGGAAGTTCACTCGCCGTGGGAATCTGGGCCCCTTAGGAAAAATTACCAAGACATTCGGAATCTTATTTTCAACCGATTGAATTTCTCTAAAAGTTTCAGCAAAGATTTTGAAGTCTCAGTTGCACCCGAAACTGCGATTTACATCCGAGACAATCTGATCACCACATCCAGAGCCAAAGTAGACCGACTTTTTAAAATGCAATACGAAAAACTGGCCGATAATTTTGGTTCAATAATTGGAGCGCGGTACAAACCGATTGAGGAAAAATTAGATTTCGATATAAAATATTGCAACAACCTTTTAGAATTTCTACATCTCATTACAAATTTTGATCAGCTTAAATCTTTAAACGAAAAATTGACGGTCCGACTTGAGTTTAAAGACGAGCTGGAGTTGGAAGCGAAGAAAATGTTATTTTTTTACCAAGTCGCCGAGCAGCAGAACTTTGCAAAGATTTCAACAGAAATCGACAACATGCTCGGATGGAAACGTAAATTGCATGCTGACGTCAGAAATGCACGAAATTTCATGAAGTTTTTACAAAGCTTGATCGCGGACTTTGGATTGTACTCGGTCCAGTCATCCGCACCTTCAAATTGGTATAAAATCTAGTTTAGGGTTTAGCGACAAACCAATCAAGCGCTCGGCAGGCCTAGCGGATGTTCAATTTAACCTTTTCGCTAACTTGCAAGATGTCATTGACGAGTTCAAACCCCAGGTAGAAAATTTCGTTGAGGAAGGAAATTCAACCATTTTTAGTGGGAAAAACGTCGTCCTGAGCCGAATCTCTGAAACAATTTCTAAATTTAACGGAAAAACTCATCAGATCGTTATAATTGCAACGAAAAAACTATTTATCGATTGTGACCTTGGCTTGCATGACACGCACTTGGCAATGATTGCCCCTGTAATTGAAGTTTTTGGTACAGAAAGAATCATCACTCTCACGGGATCATCAGGCGCTCAATTGAGTAGAAAAGCGTGGAATTCCAACAAGTCTGGCGTTGCGGGTGCCAACGGTCAACACGGAAAACACGGTTTCAGTTCCGGAGAACTCAAAATAATCGCTTTGCAGGTAAGCAATGAAGAGCTTCTTTTGGTCAACAGTACAGGAGGTTCCGGGAGTAACGGACAATCAGGAGGAAATGGTTTCAGTTCTAATCACGTGTCGCATCCAGAGGACTATTCGAGAAGAGTTCATTTAGAACATGAGCTGCTGGACCATCTTCGAGGCAGATATCACTTGGGACCAATCACAGGGCCAAAAGAAAAGGTCATCCCGATTCCGGTTGCTGGCGTCTACACCCAGGTCGATTTCGAAATCACAAAATATATCCGGGCCGAAGCTCGAGGCGATGGTAAAGAGTCAAACGGTGGAAACGGAGGAAACGGCGGCAACGCTAGTGGTTCTGGGGCTATCGACATTCTTGTTCGTGGGACCCCAAAAAAAATCCGCCTGAGTGAAAAGAACGGAACGGTTGGCTTGGCTGGAGAAGGTGGCTCGGCAGGAGTGTGGAACTGCCTTTTCAAGGAATTTCGGCAGGAGTGTGGAACTGCCTTTTCAAGGAATTCGTTTGCGACGGAAAGAAAGGGAGCAAGTGGGTGCTTTTCATCCCGGTGGATAGATTTAGAGACAAGTACGAATTCACCTGTCGAACCAATGGTAAGGGAAATTGCGGCAGAGTGGCGAAAAGTGGCAGAAACGGGGTGGCAGGACGGTTGGTTTCGAAAAGGTACAAATTCACTCCTTTAAAAATCCACCAGCTTGTGATGCATTTCTGGAGAGAGACCAGCAAAACAACCGGAAAAGCAGAGTTGTATCCAATGGATTTATATCAATTTTGGAATTTTTTGCACAGGTCGAAACAGGTGAAGTTGAGCATCAAAGAAGCAACTTCTTTTCCGTTCATTTTCGATCCTACCGTAGATATGGCCAAAGATGACTCAAATTTTGTGCGAATTCAATCCGATCTTTCAAGCATGTACATGACTTTTAAGAATTTTAAAAAAGAATGCTCGACGTGCAACGTAAATGAACTTGAAATAATTGAAACCACTTTTGCCAGCAGACTACGGATTTTGCAAACGTTCAACAAAAACAAGCGAACCTCGTATTTACAAAACGCAGTGGACGACATGATCAAAAAAATTGAGCACATTGAAAGCTCCGATGGAAAAATCTTGCCGGAATTTTTCACCTTATCACCAGACATTGACGAGGAAATTAAATCTGCCAATGAGCGAATAGAGGAGATTACAGGAGTGGTTCTCTCAGGAATTAATAATGAAATAGAAAAGGATTTTGAGGAAATTTCTCTTGCTTATCAAAACCTACAATCCGAAACAGAGCTGAAAAGCAAACTGTCCGCAACTTTGAGATTAAAGGCTCAATTAGAAGTTTTCAGTACGATTTCCAAAATAAGCTCGGCATTACATTATTTTGCTGAAGGAATGACTAAAAACGAGATTCCTGATAATGAGAAATACTTCCCAGACGAATTTAAGGTTGCTTTGGATGTTTTGAAATTTGTTATTTTTAGGAAATTGGAGGTGCATCGCGAAACGACTCCTCAACAGATTGCAGCAGTAAAAACGCTTCTTGAGGAGGACATGAATTACGGAGGAGTTTTAAAACAAAAATCGGATCGAACGCAACTCTTGGAAATTTTGGAGCAGAAGGAGGGCATGGAGGAAAATTTTGGGAATGAAATACAAAATGTTTTGGAAACGGTAGAAAGTGATTTGGATGAGAAAATTTTGGGATTGAAATTGAGCGAAAATAATTCAAACGCTTTAGAAATTGAAAGGTTGATCAAACTTCAAAAGACGTTAAAAGATGCCAGATATTCGATTAGTGGCGAAATTTATAAATTTGCACTTCAAAAACTTCCTGAAAATACAAGTCTGTACGAGATTCAAGAAAGTAACAAACTTTTCATGCAACAATTGGATTGGTATGGGAAAACAATCAACGAAAATTTCAATTCCTTCCTTTTTATGATGCAAGCAATTTTGGTAAATTTTAAAAAGAGCGATGTTGAGGATTTTTTGCCAGGCGCTGTTAAAAAATTTACTCGCAAGCTGATTTATACAATTGAGAAATTCACATCGGATTTGCCAGAGGTGAGGAACAAATTCGGCGGACACTTTTATGAGTTGGAAAAAGTGCTTCACAACGTGATTGATGCAATGGACAAATTCGACGAAATCAATTACCTAATAAAAATTGAAAATTTCCTTTCAAATTGTCCCGAAGGAAATTGCGGTCAGGACGAAACAATTGCAATGATCGCTTCTAATGAATTTGTGCGCCTATTTGCTCATTACTGGAGCGCCTATCAGCAAATCTCCTTCCCTCTCGCAACGGAACAAATCAGTTTCTTCAAAAACACTCTTAAAGAATTAAATAAACTGAAGGAATCTTCGTTTAAAGAAAGGATCGTGGTTCTGAAACAGGCTTTCAAATCCATGAGCAAAGATTTATCGAATGAAAATAATAATTTCAGCTTTGGTCAGTTCAACTCAAAATACGCCGCAAGTAAATCTTTCTACACCTGGCCTAATCAGCAATTTTCCTCCCAAATCAAGAAAATTTTAAATGGAGAGGAAACAATTATGGCCGCATCCGTTTTTTCACCTGGAGTTAAAAATGCAGTGAAATTTAATTCAGTTTTTCTCAATTTCACTTCTTCCGCTAACCCGAAGGTGACCCGAGACATAAACGACCTACTGACGCATTTCCGTCTTGAAATGAGGCACCCTGGCGAGAGTAGGTATCGCTGCGGCAACATGATTTACTCCGTGGGTGGCGATCCGATTTTCTTCACGGCCAATTTCGCGCGAGACGAGAACGGTCAGTTCATTTCCAGAAGTTCTGCGTTTGCCAGTTTGAAGCAATCGGCCAATTCGTTCAGTCCCTATGCAGTTTGGAAGTTCCGTCTGGTCCCCAATTCGGACCGCGATCACCGACACTTGATCAAGGAATTGTCCGGTTTTGTAGGAAAAGTTGATCTTGAGTTGGTCGGAAGTGGATTTTACTTGGAGGAAGACGCGGATAGTTGCGCAAAGGACCAGGGCCAGTTCTATACTTACTTTGGGACGAAGTAAAAATACAGATTTACCAATAAAAATGGCTGGGAGGTGATTTTACTGCATCATGAATATCTTTAATTTTTAAAGTATTTTCTTCAATTTTGTTTGTTCCTTTTTTATTAATAAAATATATTACCAGGAGTGAAAAAATATAAATTTTTTTTATTGACCTCGTTTATTCACTACTTTAAGAAACACTATGGAAAAAATATTGTCAAATTTTAATTAATTTATTTAATATAAACACGTAAAATATTTATAAATTCCCTTGTTTTTGAAATAATATACTTTTATCTGACTCACAAGCAAGGTGTATAATTTTAATTATAATAATTTGATTAATCTGATTAATGATCAGATTTTTTTATTTATATACTTGACTCTCCTGAACTTATCAACTTTATGTCTGCGCCACAAAGATAAAGAGAAACAAATAGCAATTATAGCGTTAACTCTGCTGTAGTATTTGGGCGTCAGCTGTGGACCCAGGCAAAATCTGATTATTAATATTTTTGGTATTTATTGACTTATGAGGCGTTGCCACGATGTAATTACTCATTGCGATGCGCCCCATTTGCAACAAAGTACAAAGCAAGTAAAAAGAGTAATAATTATTTTAATATTATCCCATACCTTGCGCAGAAATTCAAGTAATTTATTTTATTGTCCCATTAATTAATTATAATTTCTTATATGTAGCAGAAATTTAACTAAACATATTGATATTATTTAATTAATTCCCGAAAAATTTTGGTCTTATCTTTCCTCTCCGCTGCTTTCCTCTAAATGAAGGAGTTCTGAGAAACTGTAATCAACAACAGCCATTAAGAGTTCAAGTTCAGACAAATCTGCACGCGTGTGGCCTTCAATAAAAATAAAATTGGGCTTAATAATATTTTCAGCAAATCTACACTTGTAGAGGCTCTTTAGATATTATATTTTCATATCAATTAATGAAGCTCGGTTATCAGTTCCCGCATTGAAACACAATAAAGAAAGCCTTGGTAAACTCGAAAGCTGCCAGTTTATATTTTATTTTAATGTTCATAAATCTGCTGCGATCTAACATTTTATTTGTTTCCTTTTGGTTCGTTTCCATTTGTGGGCAAAGCCACTGTAAATTAAATAAAATTTCTTGATTTTTCTACATTTTATGAAAAATGTATTCTTATTTTGTATTCTTTTTCAAAATTTCAATGACAAAAGTAATTTTTTTTAACCCATTCAATGGATTGAAAACATTTATATTTTAATCTGCCAAAAATTTGTTTCAGCGAATTTCATTCACTCCAATTTACGTCCCTTTGAGGGCCAAAACGTATTCAGTTAAATTATTATTTATTATGCTTATGAATTCATGGATTTCGTAAAATTGTTGATATATTTCAGTGGCCTTTGAATTGATCAAATATTTAAGTCGCAAAGTTTGTTGGTGTTTTACCAGCGTGGCATATAATTTATCACATTTATCCCCACCACACAACACAAAGTTATCATTCTTCTCAAATAATCTTTATAAGAGCAGTTTTTTTAGGAGAAACAGACTTTTGATCTTCATGACTGGTCGGTGAATGGTGATTCAATGGTAAGAGCGCAATTATTAGTTCCTTTTAAGTAAAATTATAAATTTCTGATACGTTTTTATTTTCCTGATAAATTTGTGGTAATTCATTAACCTTTTAATCGCTTTTTAATATGAAAAAGTTGAAAGAAAACAAAAGTTTAATATTTCGACCGCAAAGAATACCCAACTTTCCACAATGTAAGTATAGAGATTTATAAATTTTTTTTCGCAGAATCTCTTTCTGTTTCTGCCTTATTTACTGCTCCTCGCAGTAATTTCTTGCGAGCTTCCGAAAAAGCCAGATGTGGACAAACTTTTCAAGGTAACAAAAAAAAATCAAAATAAGAAATAATAATTTAAAATTATACCTCGTTTTAATTTAATTCAATCGTTAGTAAGGCATTGTAAATTTTATTATTATTATAATTTATTCTTCTCGGTCATTTTACAATGTCTCTATTTAATTTAATTTTGCAAATATTAATTAATTTTAATTAATATATTTAAGGATGGCCAATCAGCGACGCAATTAATCAAGGGCAACGGCGAGTTAATCGTCCTCGTCGGCGTCACTGGCACAGGTAAAAGCACCTTGTCCAAATTTCTGCGGAAGGATGAAACGTTGACGGTCGTCGAAAATGAGCAGATGGACTGCATTTTTACCGATAACGAAACTCGAATCGGCAGCTTGGACAGCATGACATCCAAAACCTTTTTCCCAAATACTGACCTCGACCTTCAAACTGGACTCCCGATCGTTGACATGGCCGGTTTTCGGGACACGCGCAGCGCCGAGTATGACTTGGTCGCCGCATTTTTTAACAAAAAAATTTTGGATGGTGCGAAAAAGATGAAAATTGTAATCGTAGAAAATTATTCCAACGTTTTGCTCAATAATGACCGCTTGGCGTTTATCACAACATTTAGGCACTTGGCCCATCTTTTGAAAGGAAACATCGAGTCGTTTGGGGAATCAATCAGCTTGGTCGTGACCAAAGTTTACGAGCGGAAAAATGATGTTCAAACAATTAGAGCAATTAAAGTTTTCCTCGGAAAGACCGAAGAGCACTTGAACCAACAGATGATTAGTTTGGATAAAAATGACAATTCCTCAATGGCTAGTTTGAGGGACCAAATATTGCTTGTGCATTACGTAAGAGAAAAAGGAAGCATTGCCATTTTCCGTCGGCCTGACGAAGTTCAGTCGCCGTGGCAATCAGAGCCTCTTAGAAAAAATTACGAAGACATTCGGAATCTTATTTTCAACCGATTGAATTTCTCTAAAAGTTTCAGCAAAGATTTTGAAGTCTCAGTTGCACCCGAAACTGTGATTTACATCAGAGACAATCTGATCACCACATCTAGAGCTAAAGTAGACCGACTGTTTAAAATGCAATACGAAAAACTGGCCGATAATTTTGACGTGAGATTAGAATATCGTTTCAATCGGATTGAAGATAAAGTTGATTCCGACATAAAATACTGCAACAACCTTTTGGAATTTCAGCGCAGCATTGACAATTTTAATGAGCTAGAAGCTTTAAACCAAAATTTGACGGTCCGTCTTGAGTTTCAAGACGAGCTGGAATTGGAAACGCAGAAATTGTTGTTTTTTTACCAAGTCGCCGAGCAGCAGAACTTAGCAAAAATTTCAGCAGAAATTGATAACATGCTCGGCCGGAAACAAATATTTTATGCCGATGTACAAAATGCGCATAATTTCATGAAATTCTTGCAAAGCTTGATGGCAGACTTTGAATTGTATTCGGTCCAGTCATCCGTACCTTCAAATTGGTATAAATACCAATCAAACTTGACCCTTTTCATAAACTACTTATGTAGTTTAGGCTTTAGCTACAAGCCAATTCAGCTCTCGGCAGGTCTGATCGATGGAAAATTGGAACTCGCATCTATTTTGAGAGATGTCATTGACGAGTTCAAACCTCAGCTTGAAAATTTCACTGTGGATGGAAATACAATAATTTTTAGTGGAAAAAACGTCGTCCTGAGCCGAATCTCTGAAACAATTTCTAAATACAACAGAAAAACCCATCAGATCGTAATTATTGCCACAAAAAAACTATTCATCGACTGTGACCTCAGCCTGCAGGATACGCACTTGGCAATGATTGCACCGGTAATTGAAGTTGTGGAAAAAGAAAGAACCATCAAGCTCACCGGATCATCAGGCAACCCATTTGATAAACCAGCGGATTCTAATATTTCTGGCCTTTCAGGAGCCAACGGTCAAAATGGAAACGATGGTTTTAGTTCTGGAGAATTGAAAATTATGGCTTTGGAGGTAAAAAATGTTTACTGGCTTTTTGTCAAAAGCACAGGAGGTTCCGGAAGCGATGGACAATCAGGAGGAAACGGTTTCAGTTCAAATAGCGTCTCCTATCCCAACGACTTGTCGAGTTTTTTTAATTATGGTATCTATCGCGAATTTGGTGTGGACCGTCTGATAGGATATCAATATCACTTGAACGTTCGATCGTCAGAAGGAACAAAATTCATCAGAGCCGAAGCTCGAGGCAATGGTACCGCGTCCAACGGTGGAAACGGGGGAAATGGCGGCGCCGCAAGTGGCGCCGGTTCTATTGACTTTCTCCTTCGCCGGCCGGAAGAAATCAGAGTGAGTAGCAAGTATGGAGCGGCTGGTTTCGGTGGAAAGGGAGGCTTAGCTGGAGAGTGGCATTGCCTTTTTAAGGAATTCATTTGCAAAAGAGAAGAGTTTAAGTTTTTCCTCCAGAAATCGAAGATCAGATTCCATTGTCATACCGATTCTATTGGATATTGCGGCAGTGTGGCGGAAAATGGCAGCAATGGAGAGGCGGGAGGGTTTATTCCAACAAGGTACAAATTCAGTCATTTAGGACTGCGCCAGCTCGTGACCTTCTTCTGGAGTGCAGCTAGTAAAATATACGTAAAAGCAGAATTTTATCCAAAGGAGACCGAAGAACTTTGGAAATTTATCAGCTTCACAAACGGTCAATGATTTTGCATCTGATAATTTTCAATAAGCCCAAGGAAAAGGCCAAAGGGACGCAAATTTTTAGAGAGAAATTCATCCGAAAGGTTTCACGTCTCACAAGCTTTTGAAACAGAATATTTGTTAAAAGCTTCGGGTAAATTTATATATTTTAAAAAATAAAAAATATGATCTGGTGTATTCTCTGCATGCATTTCTGGTTTTATCAAATCTCTTGTATAAGTTCTTTGGTTTTTCTAAAATAAAAATTTATGCATACCAAAATTTGTAAAAAACTTTCAATTCTCAAAGCCTATAAAATAAAATTATGTAGTTTTTTATATTGATTTAAATAGATCTTTGAATTTAAAAAAAAATTTAAAATAACGATCTAATAAAAAAATAGTATAGAATTTAATTTGGTATTTTTTTTTAAAATACTGAAAATTTGAAAATAATATCACTTTTATTGCGACACAAGGGTAACGGCGGAATACAATTGTTTACTTTTAGTCTCCTCTCTGGCTTGATATTTCAATTCACTCTCATTCAAATTTCTGCCGACAGAAAGTGACTAATATTATATATAAATTTTCATTTTTCACATTTCACCCACAGACAACATTGAAATTCCTCATTTACAGGCAACCTTAAAAATCAACACATTGAAATATTACAATTATCAATCATGGGAAACAAATGTGCTCCTATATTATTCAGATAAAGTAATTTTTGATCGTTTTTGATATAAGAAGATTGATATGAATTATTTTTTTAACATTCAGCACGCAGATCCCATTTTTAAAGGAATTAGCTGAAAATTTTAAACTCAAAGATTTTGATATGTCGATAAAATTTCTGACTTTTTTTTAACTTCAAATTATGACTGATTTAATTCACAAAAACTTGACTCGCACACTTTGCAGTTTTAGTTCTTGAAATAAAAGACACGCCTACACACCAGAGTTGCATTCATTCAATTCACCCCACTTATAGTTGAATAAGTCACTCTAATTAAATATTTAGTTGGCGTCGCAGAAGTGCGTGGCCGGCGAGTTTTCCGCGTGGTGCACCAAATGCAGCGGCCGTTTGTCCACTTTGACGCTAGTGACGCAACCGCGGAAGCCCAGGTAGTATTGGGCTGGAAGGCCAGGCGGCAAAGTTGGCGCACCGCCTGCAATGCCCATCAGATTTTGCATGTTTTCTTTTTCATAAGCATGCATATTAAAAAATAAATAAATAAATAAAGAGAAACGGAAAGTAAAGAAAAAGAAGGAAAATTAAAATTTTTTGTTCCTACCTATCCAGAGGCGGCCGTTCGTGTTGAGCAAAGAAGCCCCCTGCTCTGCAACCCCCTTGATGGGTGTGGATCCATCGACCGAAATCTGCGCCTGCCGTTTGCGCCTCTGCACAGTGATCGAGTGCCAAACGCCATCGGAAATTTTCACCTAAATATATTAAAATTTAATTTTGAAACTTAATAATTTATTTAATTATTACCCGAGAGCGAATGGCAAGAAGATTCTTCTGTCTTCCCAAGTTGAAACTAATTTCAGGGTAGCCATTGATGACGGCAATGGCCAGGAAGTCGTCCTTCAAGGTGTTGCCCCGGTTTGTCCACAAGAGCAGCCCATTGTCCTCTTGCGTGCGCACCTTCAACTCGTACCGATTGTTGCGCTCACCTTTTCTCCTGAAATAATAATAATAATTTATTTTATTTACATGATATCCTCTCTAAGAGGTGCAACCTTTTGTCAAAAAAGTCAAAGTCGTCATCGTCGTAAACATATTCGTCGTCTTCGTTGATTTCGATTCCTTCCTCGTCGTCATCTTCGTAAATTTCCTCCTCCACCACATCTACTTCTTCCGAGGCGTTTGCCACAAGCAAGGTTTTGTTAGAAGCGACCCTTTCACCGAAATTAGTAATCAAGCAGCCACAAGTAAAAAATAAAAACTCACTGTTTGTGGATGGCTTTGTTGGAATACTGCAGGAACGTTTCTCCGGTGAATTTGACAGGCCGCTCCAACCCGTCGTCTCCAATTCCTTAAAATTTACATTTGCAATATTTTTATTTTATTAAAAAAATTCCTACTTTGTTGGCACTGGTCTCCGGTGTAGCTGGGAGCACATTTGCACAAGAAACTGTTGAGCCTCGGATGACAGACGCCGCCGTTTTTGCAGGGAGACGCATTTCCTGAGCAAGGTGGCCCCGAGTAATGAGAAACGCCTCTTTTTGAATTTGCCCTTTTGACGAGGTCGTCCAAGACCTCTCCATTTACTACCACCCGCTGGATGGCACCGTTCAGACCAATAGTCACTCCAGAGTCTCGGCTAACTTCACTCAAAGCCCTTAAATAATTGAATTTTTTTATAAATTTATTTCTACTATTTTTTTTTTTTTTTTTTAATAATTACGGCACTCCGCCGATGTAGAAAGGCAGCTCCAAATTCAGTTCGTTTAGGGGTGGTCCTGATGATCCCTTCACTATCGTGTCATTATCAACCTGCAGGGTGCCCTCCTTGTCCACCCTGCTCACTCTGATCATGTGCCACTCATTCAGAGTAACTGAAGTCGGAGAGCTGCAATTTTCAATTTAAATTTTATGCCTCAAAAGATTGGAATGATTTTTTTACGTAATGTTAGCGGAGCCACTGCCTAAGTCGAACTTGAACTGGACGTGTCTGTCCACCAGATTTAGAGAAATAAAATCTCCCCTTCCACCGACCAGCTGGCCGTCGTAGAGAAGCAGTCCTGAGGGAGCTCTCGACATGAACCAAACTTCAAAAGAAAAGGCTCGAGCCACATTCTCCAGTTTCGGCAGTGCCAGGAAAGAGTCTCCTTGAAACTCGGCCGTGTAAACCTCTGGCAAATTCAACTCGACTGCAAATGAAATCAATTATAAATCATAAAAATTTGAATCTAAAAACTAATTTTAATTTTGAAGCTTCAATTCCTTTTTTTTTCGTCTAAATTATTGTTTTTATTTTGAAATTTGTCCTGGATTTGTCTCAAAAAGACTTAATTTTATATTAATTTTGTTCATATTTCTTTACCACATCTAATGGTGTTCAATAATTAATTCATTCATAAAGATTTTTAATAAAAGATTTCTAAATTATGCAACCTGCTGCATCTGAATGTAGCGCAGGTTGCATAATCACCAAATTGTAGGAGTTCGATTTTTTTCATACCTTCGTGACACGTTCTTCCTTTCTTGCCAATCGGACACTGGCACGTGAATCCGGTGACCAGTTCGACGCAGGAGGATCCTGCGGCGCAGGGTGAGGAGGCGCAAGGTGCGACCTGAAGGGCGCACGTGTCACCTGAGAAGCTGGCAGTGCAGGCGCACTTGAAGCTGACTGAGTCTATGGCCAGACAGGTGCCGCCATTCAGGCACGGGAGAACGGAACAAGGATTTTCTCCACATTCCCTGATGCCCTGCGTTTTCTCGACCAGGGCGTCTCGTCCGGCGTGTAGCTCGACCACCTTGCGGCCGATTTTCAACTTCCGGACGCATCCGATGAGACCGAAACTGGTGCCGATATTTTCAAAAACTCTAAAATTATATGAGAAATTATTGTTTTGTTTAGATTAAATTTTAGTTTTACTTTTTCTCTTGAGTTGGGACGAAACCAATGAAAGCGTCTTCTTGCAAGTCAAGAGATTTAAGGCTGCCCTGAGATTGCCCTGCTACGTCTTCGAAATCGTCCAGCTTTAGAACGCCATCCCTGTGGTATCTTCTGGCCACAACATGGTGGAATTTCTTGAGCTGGACCTTTTCATGTGAAGTTATGACCACTGGGCCATTACCGAGGTTGTACCGGAATTCAACATGACTAGAATAAAAAATGATAAAATTTAATTTTATGAAATATTAAATTAATTGGAATTTTACCCATTGACAATGGCCAGTGAAATGAAGTCTCCGGTTCCGTCTGTTTTTTGCTGATTGTACAGCAAAATTCCATCATTGGCATAGGTTTTGAATTCAATTTCTATGCTGAATTTATTGTAAGCTTTCAGTCTCTTCAGTTGGACGAAGGAATGACCGTCGAAAGCAGGAATGTCGTACTCTAAAAAAAAAATTACAAAACATTATGAATCCTGATAGATTTTTGCATAAAATCTAAATATTTCTGGAAAAAATTAGATTCCATTTAATAAACTGCCGTTCTGGAAACTTTAAAGTTGATAAATTAACCAAATTTTGTATTAAAAAAACCTTTGAATCTTTATAAAGAGTATCAACTATGAAATTGTTTTTTTTTTTTAGTAAATTCAAATATTTCAATTTTTCATACCTTTCTTGACAGCAACTTGTTGGCACTGAATACCAGTCCAGTTGGTTTGACACTTGCATTCGAAAACTCCTTCGTCCAAATCGTAGCAGGTGCCCCCGTTGTGGCACGGTTGTGACGAACACCCCCTTTTGTATCTCGAATTGTTTGCTGCACAGTTTAAAACATTTTTAATCAAAGAAAGACATTTGTTTCCTCGACTCACAAATGCACTCGAGGTGGTCGGACGACTCGACGTGGCCCTCCTTGCAAATGCAAATGTTGCTGGAGCACCTGCTGTGAACCACGACGCAGTCCAGGTCACGGGAGCACACGTCGCCCAGCAGGGAGCGCACCTGCACAGTGGCGGGGGTAGGTCGGTGACCGCCGCCCTTGGCCCACGCAGACCCACCGTCGTAGTGTTCGAGGGGCAGCAAATGCCGAGTCGATTTGTACAGGGGGGAACTCAGCTCGCCAGTCCAACGACGAAGGGGCGCCTCAGTTATGCCCAGTTCTAAAAAAGAAAAGAAAAATTATAATTAAATATTCGTCTAATTAATAAAATAATAATATTTTATATCACTGGAAAAAAAGGTTAATTAAAATATGTAATAAAAAAGCGCTTAAAATAAAACGAAAAAACTTTTGGGAAAAATAAATTAATTTATTACATTAATTTTGTATTTTTTGGACATAATTAAGATTAAATTAATTATAAAAAGATTTTAATAAATAAAACCAAATAAAAAATAATATTTTATCCTTTTTTGTAATCATAACTTTAAAAAAATGACTATTTTCCTTGTAAAAATTGTGATTAAAATTTGTGAAAATTGTGAATCAAAATTTAATTACCTCTGCACGAGCCAAGTCCCTGAACCGCAATCTCCTTTTGGTAGCGGCATGCATACTGCTTCATTTGGCACTCGGTCGAGTACGTCTGACCATCGTTGCCGCAGACAGTCTGGAATCAATCGGCATCAATTCAATCTGCTCGTCTCAATGGCTCTCTTTCTTTCTTTCTCTTTTCTCAAGTACCTGCGATCGCGTCGGGGGATCTTCCGAACAGGCGATTCTGCAGCTGCACTCGGCCTTGCCCGCTTTCATCTCGCACGTGGCGCCGTGATAGCACACGAGCTCGCTGCAGGAAGTTGGTCGCGGCGCCGAAGGATCGACTTGAGCAGAAAAGTTGAATTGAGAGCAGAAGTTTAGAGAGAAATAAATTTACTCTGCCCATGATGAATTGTTTGTTTTATTATTTAAAAAAAAAAAAACTTTCAATTCTGAGAAAAAAACAGGAGTTTTAAATAATTAAATTGAAAATAATTAAAGTAATTTTGAAATTTTTATAAAATAAGGCAATAATTTTTAAATAATTGAAATTTGATATTTGAAGTAATCAATTTCTTAAATATAAAGTGTTCAAATGAAGTCAAATGAGATGAGAAGTAAGAAAAAAAAATACCTCTGGCACATCCATTGAGTCCCAAGACAAGTCCGGGAGCGCAGTTGGTGCAGCGTTGGCCGGTAACACCAGGTTTGCAAACGCAGCGACCTGTCATTTGCTCACAGTCGTCTCTCACCGAACCCAGTGACGAGCACTGGCACGCTGAAAGGGTTCATAAAATCCCATTTGATTATTTTTTTCCGGCACTTAAAAAAATTTATTAAAAAAAATACCATTTTTTTTAAATATAGACCAACAGGAATGAATTTTCTTTGCTAAAACTTCAGTTAAAAGCTTACAGGCTGAAGTAAAATAGTTTCAATTTTTTTTTTATATTTAATCCATTTTTTTTATACATGCAAAAAATTTAGTTTAATTTTGTTTCTGTTCTAAATATAAAATTGGTGAAAGCATTAATTTTCACAAATGCAAATCTAATGAATAATTGAAATCTTTCAAAAAAGACTCATTTAATTAAATAATTTATTTATTGTTCAAAATTCAGTCTCGGATTAATAAACACAGACAAAACAGTCCAAAAATATTAAAAAAAGCTATTAAAATTTTTACCAAAAATTCTAGATAAAAGATATTTCTTCGTCTATAAATTTTTAATCCTTAAGAAAAACATGAAAGTAAATTTATTTTTCTATTATTGCGTGTTTTGCACATTCTTGCCTATTTTAAATTAATTCAAAGCGACTTCTTTCAACGCTTAAATCGTGAAAGCAATTTTTCTTTTCCGCTTTTTCTTTGCCGTGTTTTTCTCACTGTCAGCGGCCGGAATTAAACTTAATGGAGCGAGCGTGTTTCGCGAAATTAAAAATCAAGGCAACTCACGAATACATCCTAGGTAGCCCTCGGAGAGCTTGAGCAGTCCCCAGTAGCCGGGTTCGCATCGATCACACTTTTCTCCGCCAACACCTGGCCGGCAGTCGCACTGACCCGTCTCCTCGTCGCACTGGTCTTCTGAATACGATCCTGCACAAAAAACATTGAAATGATATAAAAAATTTAAATTTAAATTGTTTAAAGTTAAATGATTTGTCATTAAAACTGAAAAAATTGGAGTTTAAATTTATAATTGTCCAAACTAAATTAATATAAATGTTCATGCAAATAAAAATTAAGTCACATTTTTTTTTATTCTTTTATAAATTAATTTCACAAGAACATGAAGCTTTTTTAAATATTCCTTCTAGATTTTTGTGTTTTAGCACAATTTTGTAGTCCAAAATGTTCCTTCGTTAAATTTCAACAACAATAATAAATGTACCATTTTTAGAAAGCCAAAGTTTTTCTTTCCAAATATGGCACTTACCGAGTTTATTGCAATTGCAGGTGGACGGGCAGCCCACATTGTCCGCCCCCAGGGCTGGCGTTTTGCCATCAGGACAGCAGCCAAACCAGGAGTCCTCGCAGTTCTTCTGCGCAACGATCGCATCTGCTCCGTAACAGAAAATTAAACTTTATTGGCTTTCCCTTCCCAAAGCTGTGCAAGGGCAGAGCGATTCGTTGTGCCAAATGATTTTCACAATTTTCAGCTGAAAAGTTCGCAATGGCGTTGGAACCACGTTTGTTGAATTCAAATCCACAGTTTTTTATTTTTGACAGAAGTTAATTTACTAAAAAAATAAATTTGGTAGAGGGTGAAATTTTAAGAAGAAAAATACTGATAATCGGTTCAAATAAGAAGAAATTACAATATTTTCAAACAAGCAATCACTAAGATTCTCCTAAACTCGATTGCACAAAGGATTTCACAATTAATAGGTAAAAGTAAAATAAGGTTCATTTCTCAGTGGCTTGTCATAGAGGTGAAAATTTTCGTTTTTTGTTTCGCTGGCAAATTAACGCGGGTTAATAAATTGGCATGTGATGGGTCTTAAATGTTTCTTCTTGAGATACATTTCCATAATAAATTAACATGAAACCCCTAAAACAACCCGCGCTAATTTCAGAAACTAGTTAAAAAATCGACTTTTCAACTAAATTTGTCCTTTTCTAGGACTAAAATTAATTAATTTTGAGCTCAATTGCCATGATTACAGCTTGAATTGGCTTTTAAAGTATTTAATAGGCATTAATTAACTAAAATGTTCATCGTGGTTTAACAATTAAAGGAAAAACGTGAGATTTAGTTGTTTTCTCAATGGCTCGCCAAAGGGTTGAAAATTAACGCTTTAAGTAAAAAGCTGAAGCGCCGAGATATTTAAATTTTCACAGTTAAAATTAAGAAATTTTCAACCAGAGTGACTTCCTGGATTAAATTAAACGTCTATAGACCTTTAATCCTAGACTCGCGTCTATTTCAAGTGATTGCGGACACCTGGTGAAATTGAAATATTGATGAAAATAAGGACGTAAATGAATTGATAGCACACATTCTTTTATTGACATTTTTTAGAATTTCAGTCCTCTCAATTTAGAATAACTGTGAAAAATTTTTGTGGTAAAAATTAAAATAGTTTTGAAATTTGTTGATATATATCACGAACTTTTGTTTAAAGTGATTAATGAAAGCAGAAAAAAATCATCAATGCTGCTGAATTAATTTAAAACTGGTTTAATATTTTCCGTTTAAATTGATTTATTTCAAAATTAACTATTATTATTAATATAAATCTAAATAAATGTTGAAATTATTATCTCTATAGACAAATTTAAAATCCATCCTTTGTAAAAGTCTCGAGATGAAAAGAAAATATTTGATATATTAGCGTCTTTTTAAAACGTCGAATTGCACCCAAGTATTCCAAAATTGAATCAGTTTTTCTAAAAGTGCTTTCAAAAGCTCTTACGTGTCCTGAAACTTTTACCCGAGCGAGAGGCAAATTGTATCAAATTCCGAGCCTTTTTCTTGCGCAAAGTTTTCGAGTGGCCGGCCGGGAGTTGGCGCGGAAACGGAGAAGGACGAAAGACCGTTTGATTGAATTTGCGAGCGAGCGAGCGGATTTACCTTTGCGACAGCACTTGGCGAAGTTTGGCGTTTGGTGGCAGTAGCTGGCCGACGGGCAGTCCTGCCTCCGGGGGCCGCTGCCGCAGTCGTACTCGTCGCCCGTTTCCGGACTCACCAGCGGCGTGGCGCCGTTGCAAGGCTTCACTTCCATACCTGCTGGCAAATTTAATGCAAATTTTGTACAGCGGTCTAACTACAAAGGGAGGACGGAAATGAACAACTTTCATATATGTTCATGAAAGTTGCAAGCAAAATTATTCTAAATTTAATAAACTTTTATGCGATTTGATGCCTTCTTTCAGTATTTAAGTTTAATTATTTTCTAGAAAAGACGATTTTGTTTTAAGATCATAATTTTTTTGAAAAGAATAATAATAAATTTGAAATATTATTAGTTATTTAAAAATTAAAATGGCTTAAATTAAAGTGATTAAGACATTATTAAACGAGTTTAATGGATTTGAATATCTGTAATTAGCTTGAAATTTAACTTCGTGTTATAATTTCAGTTAAATTAAATGATTGAACACAATTTCTGTATAATAAGATGTAATTTTGGGATAAATTGAATTTTGAAATTAAAAAATATCATGAATTTTTTTCAGCTTAGCTTGAAAATATGAAAAATATGATCTATAAACATAATTTTCAAATTTCTAAACTACTATTTTAACAGGACAAATTTAAAAAAGGTCGGACCTTCACAAAGGTCGATGGGTCGGAGTCGAAGTTCCTCCTGGCGTTGGCATCCCTCCATCTTCATGGCGCACGCGTTCGGGTACATCCGCAGGTCAGAGGCGCACACCGGCTTGTTTTCTGCGACGGGACACTCGAATTTGCAGGTGCAGCGCGGGAAGTGGTCGTCGCCGAGTTCGCAGGTCGCGTCGAAGTCGCATCGGATGTCCTTGCACGCCTCCGCCTCGGCCCCCTTGCCCCCCGCAACCTCGTTGGCGCGCGCGCCGGGCCCTTTGCCGCCCTTCCGAACGACCACCATAGGCGCGAAAGTGTTCATCGGCGCCACCGTCGGCGCCGGTGTAACTGAAAACAAAAATTAGAGAAGAATTTGAAATTAGGTGAGAAAATTGTTTTGAATGAAATTAATATTTTTTTCATTAAAAACGTAAAGATTTGTGAAAATAAAAACAAATTTTTTTATTGCTACACATAAAAAATTCAAAAAATTTCAATATTGAAAGATTTTTTACAAAACTAAAAAAATAGCTCAGGTTTTCAATCCAATACAAAGAATTTTTATGGGCATTTCAACGATTTAGTCCTGGGACGATAATTATTTAGACCTTGAAAGTGGTGGATTTTGAAAATGATGTAATATTTTTATTCACAGATATCAGCGAACACTCGGGATTAAAATGGTGTTAAATAACGCCTCATTTTAAGTAAAAATAAAATCAGAGTGGCAAATCAATTTAAATAATTTTTATGGGCATTTGAATGATTTAGTCCTGGGATGATAATTATTTAGACCTTGAAAGTCATGGAATTTTTTTTTCAAATATCTACGAATGCCTGGGATTAAATTGGTGTTAAATAACGCGTAATGTAAAGGAAAAACTAATTTAAAAAGTCACTTTTTTCTAATGATTTTTGTTCAGGACTGTTAAACTAAAATTTTGTCAATAAACATCGTCTCTTGTACAAAAAATTCTACCGGTTAAATTATAAAATTTATAGAAATTTTAACAAGAAATTTATATATAGTCATATTTTCGCCTTCATTTACTTCTCCTGGCAAAATATTAAAAATTCGTAGCAATATTTTATTGAAGTATGAATGAAATATGATAAAAAATTTTATGTGTAAGCAATTTTCTTCAAAAACATCGTATTTGAATTTGAGGGACTTTTTAAAAAATTTTTATGTTCCCAATAACTTTTTCTATTAGCGACTCACCTAGTTTTTCTGTGCACTCGCCGTAGAATTCGACTTGAAGTTCTTGCGAGGCAGCGCAGCCAGCGCGGACCATTTCACACTCGCTGGCGTAGGTGATGCCGTCCGAGGCGCAAATCGACTCCGTTTTGCTCGCCGGACACGCACCTGGACACACGCACTCGCCCGCCTCACACACAGCCCCGAATTTGCACTTCACCTCCAAGCACGCGTCTAATTGAATTGAAAATAATTCCGATTATGAATAATTTTTCATCAGGATAAAATTGTAGCGATGAGGAGTCTTTCATATTAATTTTATATTTTAAGTTAAATTATTCCTGCTGAAATTTTACTTAGATAATTAAATGAAATATTTTAAATTTCTATCCTTGTTCAATTGTTGAACATAAAAGCTCATTTTTTTTCAATTTCCTTTTAATCTTTAATTATTGTCATGAATAATATATTTTGGTATAAAATTCTGGCAAAACTGTTTCATTTACTCACCACAATCGCCCTTGTGCGCGACCAGAAGCATCTTCTGCGTTTTGCACGCGTGGATTCGCAACTCGCACTCGGAACGATAGGTCCGGCCGTCGCTGCCGCAAACCGCAGACAAAACCTGCAACAACCACAGCCACACATTCCAGTTAAACCAAATCAAGTGTTCGTGAGACGACGGATCAAAGCATTTGAGTAAATTAATTAGTAAATGTTTTTGTTCACGATTTTTGTTTGACTGTTTTTAAACGATTGCAAAACTTTATATTTTTTCCAATCTAGAAGAAATTTCCAATTTTATTACTCACCAGAAGAAAACTATAAAACATTTAAATCTAAATTTAATAAAATTTATAACAAATATAAATAGAAATAAATAATAATTTTCTGTCCTTCAAAAAAGCTTTGCAGGATCTTTAGTGTGGAAAAATTAATTGGATTTCAATACAAAAATCCATCATGTTTCTAAAAACAATTTTAAAAAAAACATATTTTTCGATTTTTTTTTCTTTTTTAATTTACACTCGATGAATAGTTTGGAAAAATTTATTGATTCATTTCAGTTTTTTTAAGCAATTCAGAAACAATTTGCCTATATTTGTCTGAAATTTTTATTAAACCAGCAACATTTTGAATAAATCTTTTCTGATCTTTGATATACAAGCAAAAAATCACAACCCACGGTTGTCTCGGCAAACTTTTAACGAGAGAACACCAGAGGGCTCGTGGGAAGAAAAGACTCCACCGTTAACTTTGCATCCCTGTGAGGCATCCCTCTTTCTTATTTCTTCTTCTACCCCGTTTGGAAAAAGCTCAAACACAGCTATATTTTTTTCTAGAGAAAAACCGCGAGCCCCGTCAGCACTAGCCGTGTTTGCGGTTGCTTTTCTATCCACGCGAAATTTCCACGCAGCGCAAAAGTTGCGTCGGCAAGGCAAATACGGGTTTGTGTTTCCGAGAGTGACCCTCGGCAGCAGAGCGGACGAACCAAAACGAGCTGCTTGATGAGGGCAAAACGGGCACTCCAATGCCCTGGGGCGGCAACATGCACACCAGCGAGTCGGAAAGTTCGAGGGTATTGGCTGGGGAGTCTAATGGAATCAGTCAAAAGTAATAATTGAACTCGAATCGACTGGACAATCAGATTAATTTGTGAAATAGATCAAAAGAAAAGTTATATATCCACAATTAATGTGTTTAATAAAAAATTTAATAATACATTAATTTAAAATTTCATTGGTAAAGTAAAGAAATTTTTGTAATTATTTTCTTCTTCAAATTTTCAGGAATGATTTTATCATTTGAATCATAAGAAATTTGATGCTAGAATTAAAAATATTGGCGATGGAAAAAATAAAAATTGGTTCTTCAGGCGACCAAAGATTTGTAAAGTAGGCAACCAAAGCCAATTCTGGGAGTTTTATTTTTTTTTATTTTAATTCATGTAACCAATATTGATTCTTATTAACGCCAACAAATAATTCTTAGATAATTCAAGCTATTGGAAATTTGAAGTCCAAGCTCAACTCTGTGGCAAAAATTGTGATTATTATAAAAAAAAAAAATCAATGATTGATTCAGAAAATTAAAAATTTAATTTTCTCAGAGACTTTTTCTCCATTTATTAATTATTTTTAACGGTTTTTAATGTTGTTTATTTGTCCTTTTTCTAATTACAAGGTAAATGTGGATTAATTTTACAATTTACCTTAACTCCTTCTAGCCTTAGCTTCTTTTGTATGTCCTTCATAAGCCCTTTTCGCAAACACGGCGCAAAACTAATTTGGCAAAAAGTGCGGCGGCGAGTGTTTGCTTTAATAAGAGATTGACTTGCAAATTCGTGCAGATTTCGCGTGTTGTTCCTCCCTCGTGCCTGCGCGAAATATCCTCTCGGCATTTATTTTTTACTTCTCCCCGGCTTATTTCTCGCCGGTCCAGAGGAGAGAGAGGAAATTAATTTGCATCTCTCAGCAGGAGAGAAAGAACAAAAGATGCAGCAGCGACGGACAAAGCAGTTATTTGTATTTAAATTCCAGACGAGAGAAATGCAATGCTTCTCTTTCGAGTTTTTGTTTGCTTTCGCTCGCTGCTTCGACAAGCAATAAAACTCACTCGCCCTCTAAAGCAGCTTTTATGTATTCCGGCGCGGAGACAAAGAAGGACCCTCTGCGGGACCCTTGCAGCGAACACACCAGAGAGAACCTCTTCACGATTTTGTTTTCAGCTGCCTGGCGAGGGTAAAAAACAAGGCGAAAAGTAAAGAAAGAATGAAGACCACCCGCCGCGAGATGCGAAAAAAATTTATATGGACGTGCTGAGATATTTATGAAGAGTAAATAATAATTGAATTGACGTAAACTCCAGACTTGGAGATAATTATATAAAAAGCATCAAAAGAGCCGATATTTGAATGGATTTTTTGCAAGGGAAACATTCCAATGAAAAAAATTAATATTTAATATTGGAGAAATACTGATTGAATTTTATTTTCAAAAAACGATATTTTTCACAAAATTTTAAAAACTTCTCCAAAATTTAATTCTTAAACCAATTGATAAGATATTTTTCATAATTAAAGACCAACTTCGGTGATTTTTAGGAATAACTCTAAATTTTGAGTATATCTTGTGGAAATTCCAAACCGTTGCGTCGCAGTAAAAAGAACACCAAATTCAAGTGATTCGAGCAAAAAACGTGAGAATTGAGGTATTTCCATCAGTTTTGTCCAAAAACTGCAGGATTTGGTCACATTGGCGCTGCGATCGCTGATTTTGCCACTCATGCCCTCTGGCGCTGTGCAGAAAACTTTGCAAAATCAGCGATCGCAGCGCCACAAGCGACAAAAACCAGCAGTTTTTGCACAAAACTGATGAAAATACCTCAATTCTCACGTTTTGCGCGAATCACTTGAATTAGGTTTTCTTTTGATTGCGATGCAACGGTATGGAATTTTTCACAAAATGTGCTCGAGATTCTGCAATTTTTCAGAATAAAGAGCAATACAAATTACCGGAGTAGGTCTTTAAAAATTAACTTAATTTTTAAAACAAAAATTAATTAAAAATACTAAAACACTGGTATTAAATAATCGAAATTTGTTTAATTAAATTAATTTAAAATATGCGTAATTACCTAAAAAATTGAACAAAACTTCAATAAATTTGATTTTTTTGGTAAAGAATTACTTTAAAAAAAGAATAAGTCAATTTATTTTTGTACATTTGTTGCTGTTGTTTTTTTTTTCAAGTCAAAAGAGCTTTAAATTCAACAAATTAAATTTTCATGGTCATGAACTTTGTCTGATTGTTTTAATCGTTAAATATTTTCTTTGCTGAATGAAGAGATCTTCTAACCACGTCGTAATAAATTATTTTCATTCCAATTCAAATAACCCTTTTTAATTAAACAAGGAAATCGTATACTCACATCTGCGGGACAAATCTGCGGGCAGACGCACTTGGAGCTTCCAGATCCATCGCTCTCGCAGACGGCGTAGAAATCGCACTGCTTACTTTCACAGCCATCTGCGGAGCAATCACAAGGGAAATCTCAGTTAAGCGCGACGCCGAACAATAAATATAAAAAGGAGAAAAAAATCACTGCAGGACTACGGACATCGATCCGATGTAATATAATTTATTTTTTTTCCGCAGAAAAGAGCAGAGATTTAATTACTGTGAATCTCATCAGGTGGCATTCGGAACTCCAAATTCCCACGGGAGCCTTTGTTGTCGGCGCGCACGGACTTGTTTGACGGCATTATTATTATTATTATCCATTCATAATCGTGGCTAATGCGCGCGGCTTCTCTCTCACAAGGCTCGACAAACTTTTGCCCGACGAGTTGAATTACAAACACACACTATATGTGCGCCGCTCGTTTGCTTCTTTGATCTAGGGGTGCGCACAGAGCTAGTGTTTAACGAAGGCTAAACCCAACCGTCCCCATTCTGCCAAAACCCACACTTCATTTGCACGGCTTCATTAAAAGCAGCGAAAACCGTATGCAGCGTCACAGTGGGATTAAGTTTTGTGGTTCTTGCTAGGACCAGTTTAAGACGAAGATTTATAAACTAAAATTGTATTAATTTTTAAGAATAAAATTCAAAGTTATCGCAAAACAAGTAAGAAGTAAAAATTTGTCCAAAGATTTACTTTTTTAATAAATTGCTCTAATTACAAAAGTTAATTAGTAGATTTTCTTAAAATGAATCTGATTAAAATTAATTATAATTACTAAATAAAATTGATAGGTTTCTTACTACAAAGTCCGTCGTAGAGAAGGGTGATTTCCTTTTTGCGCAGACACGCCTCGAGCCGCAGTTTGCACTCGTTGTCGTACGAAAGACCGTCCGAGCCACACGCGGGCGAGAACTCGGCCGGACACGTGGGACACTCGCAGTACGGCAGTCCATCGCCCTTCTCCACGCACTGGGCGCCCAAGGAACACACGTGACGACTGCACGGGCCTGCTGAACCTGATCATTGGAACAAAAATCACAAAATATTTTAAGTACATTTTCAGTAGCAAAGCGAAGAAATAATTTGTTTATAATTATGTTTTTTTTTTTAGTTTTCGTTAAATTTAAAACTGTGTTTTTTTTTCATTTTTTCATTTAAACTCGGTTAATTTAAATTGATAAAAAATTATACAAATTCATATTTAAAGTAGCGATTGAGATTTATTTCAGAAATATTAAATTTTATTATTATTTATAATTTAATTTAACCAAATAATAATCATTTTGTTCATTTTGAGAAAATTGCTCTCTCTTCTCTCAGCTAAATTAAAATGTTCCTATTCCAGTCGAGATATTTTGTGTAGCCGTTTCCGCCATGAGTTTTCATTCAGTGCTCGACAATCGAGAGCTAACGCAATTTTTCAAGCGGCTGCCTTTCACCTTTGTTTCGGCGAATTCTCGCAATTAAACGCACCCTTCCGTCAAAGCGGCGACGGAAGGTATAAATACACACGGTGGAAAACTAGCAAAGTGAAAGCAGCTGCGTCGGTGCAGGGTAATTATTCATGAATTAATTTATTATTAACAATCGGGCTAGCGGGTTTAGTTTCGCCGTGCAAGGCGCTTTTGCATAATTAACAGAGCCGGCAGTCTATTCTCTGGGGTCAAAGCAGCGGCGCCACCAAAGAGAGATGCAGCTTCACGAAAGAAACCTTGTTAATTACACTCACAAGACCGACACAGGAAATTTTGCGAGCGGGAAGACGGATGTTTTGGAGAAACGCGCTGCCTCTTTTGAGCAAATTTGAGTGTGTTGTTATTCATTAGCTTCTCACGTTACTAATTGCAAGTCAAATTAAGACGGGCTATATAAGGAAAGCGGTAGTGAGAATGTTGCTGACGGTTGTTGACAAAATATTTCGATATTTTTTAAGGGAATACGGAAATAAGAAAGAAATAATTTTAATTAAAAATAAATTACGTGTCTAAATATTTTGTCATGTCTTGGCTTTTACATTGAATACAATGTTATGAAACGTGATGACGGTGATTAACATTACAATGATCAACATAGTCTCAGGCATGTCATAACGTGTTATTACTAGGTTGAAAGAAGTAGAAGTAGTAGAACCATGAAATTGTTGCCAAAAATTTGTAAAATCCAGCACTAAATCCAAAGGCCTGGTACTGAGCCTTTATTGAAAACCTTCGACTTAATTAGTAAATTATGGTTAGCAGTCAGTGGCAGCGTTAAATGGAATATTATAGACTAAATTAAATTGATTCAATGATTACGAAAAAAAGCCTTCTTACACAGGACTATTCATTTAGTCGGTAATTTTGCAAATATTCGACGATATAACCGCGTTTCAACATTGTTAAACTTTGTTATGACATGTATTTACAATGTTCAACACTGGATATCGCCGAATATTTGTAAAATTACTGACTAATTGCATATTTAAAGATCCTCTCCGGTCTTTTGAATTTCTCTCTTTTCTGAAAAATTGCTAAATTTCGAGTATGTCTTGTGAAAACACTATGTAAAAATTCCAAACCATTGCGTCGCAATCAAAAGAAAACCTAAATACGAGTGATTCGCGCGAAAAACATGTGAGAATTGAGTTGCCAATCAGATCAGATCCATCAGTATCGTCCAAAAACTGCAGGATTTGGTCACATTGGCGCTGCGATCGCTGATTTTGCCACTAATGCCCCACGGCGCTGCAGAAAACTTGGCGAAATCAGAGATCGCAGCGCCACAAGTGACAAAAACCTGCAGTTTTTGGAAAAAACTGATGGATCTGATTGGCTGCTCAATTCTCACACGTTTTTCGCGCGAATCACTCGTATTTAGGTTTTCTTTTGATTGAGACGCAACGGTTTGGAATGTTCTATTAGTGTTTTCACAAGATATACTCGAAATTTAGCAATCTTTCAGAATAGAGAGCAATACACTTGACCGGAGAGGATCTTTTAGTAGAGTTTTTTTGGTGGAAAGTTTCGACATCAAAACGTGTTAGATAATTTTAATTTTATAGAACAGTTAACTTTTCCTGCTAGTTATAAAATAAATAATATCTTTTGCTATTAAAAAATAAATTGCATATTACTTTTTTAGATATTTAACAAATATAACAAAAAAATGGTAGTATTTTTATTCATAATTTTCTATTTACTTTTATTAAAAAATTATTGGTACTTACCACAAGCACCGGCGTGAGCAACGGCAACCCTTCGCTTGGCCAAGCAGGCTGCCCTTTTGAGCTGACACACGGAATCATAAGTGCGGCCGTCGTCGCCACAGGTCGGCCGCAAAACGGGTTCGCACTCGGCCGGACACTCGCACTTGGCGATGCCGAATTTGTTGATGACGCACTCCTGGCCTGGCGAGCACCGAATGCCGGCGCACGGGTTCACGCCGCTCGAACATTCTCCGCGGTAGATTATGCGCAAGTTCTGCAAAAATTTCAAATCGAAAAAATAAAAATATAAATAATGATTCTTTTTTTTTTGGTTTGAAATTGCGATTTCAAAAAGGTCAGAAGAGAAAGAAGAAGGCTGAAAAGTAAATAAAAAATTATTTCAAATTAAATTTATTGAAATGAGGAACCAGAAAGATTATTTGTGCTCAACTTTAAAAAAAATTGAAAAAAATCAATCATGGTTTGTTGAATTGAGTTTATTTTGAAAAGTTTTCGCAAAAAATTGGAGAAAAAAATTAATTTTCTCGCTGATCCAACAAATTTTTTAAAAAGCAATAAGGCGTCTCAAGCTGTAAACAATGAAAAATCTCTTATAAGAATTTTTTTTAAGTAAAAATTGAAACCTCCAAATTTCACTGATTAATCTGGAAATTAATTTAAAAAAATTATAATTAATTAAGACGTTTCTCCACCAGTTAATAAATAACTATATAGTAAATTTTTAGTAAAATAAAAACTATTTAAGCAAAATAAAATACGATTGAATTGGAGATTGGAAATAAATAAAGGCGAAAAGTTTTTTTTTTCAAATTTTTACCTTTTGAGTTCGGCACGCCTGCTGTCGGAGGGAGCACTCGTTGACGTAGGTTTTTCCGTCAGAGCCGCACACGGGCATGAACTCCAACGGGCACGTCTCGCCGCACCGGCACACCGGGTTGCGATCCTCGTCCAGTTGGCACTCCTCAGGCGACGGACACAGCAGCCCCGCGCACGGATCTGCAATCCCAGCGTCCCACAAGCCATAAATTCACAACCCAATTTGCTACCTGCGTCGCTCGGGTTTAAGCTTTCGGACGGAAATTGGAAATGTGCAGGGAGGAGAACAGGAAGTATAAAAAGCACTGGTGCTTTTGTTTGAACACATCGTGCGGAAATCAAATGAGAAACACTCAAATCATAAAAGGTTTTCATTATTAGATGAAGTTGATTTCAATTTTTTGATTCTACAATATACAAATAATTATAATTGAAGATTGAAACTTAAAAATATGAAACTTTTTCTTATAATCATCAAAATCAAACAATGAGTGGTTGAATTTTAAAGCTTGTTAAAAAAAACAACAACAAAGAGTTTTATTGATAAAATTAGTTAAGCTTCTTCATGTTCTATTAATTTTTTTATATATAATATATATTAAAGACCAATTTAATCAAAAATCACTAAAATAATTTCAAAATAATATTAAGAATAGAATTTCTTGAAACAATTCCAATTTCCAATTGAAATTTCCCGCCATAATTTATAATGGGGTTGTTTTGTTTTTTGTTTTAAAATAATTAAAGTTTGATTGATTGAAAAGCGATTTATTTAACTTCTCAGAGTTCCAATTTAACCTTGTACTGTTTTAAATAAAATTTTTATTTTATAGATTACAAATAATTAATATAATTGGTATATTTTGTCTCAATTTACACAAATAATCTTGGCCGACCAATTGTGAAAATAAGTAAGAATTGCTTATCGATATTGTTTTGCAACTTTATAGTGAATAGGATCAGGCCGAATATTAATTGCGTTAATTAAAGTTGGTCGCCTCGCTTGGTCGCTGCCCGAACAGCCTAGATTACCTGCAAGTGTAATTTTCGACTTTTTATTTCCGCCTCCGGAGACCGTGGGCGAAGAATAAATTTAATTTTGCGCGCGCCATTAGTTTTATTGTTGGGGCCTTAAGGCACTTATGCGGCGTTCGCCCTCCCGAGACTACTTTTAAATGTAAAATCGGCGAGAGAGTGCTTTTACGACACACACACGCCCTTAAAACCGAGACCAGGAGTGCAGAGAGCGCCCCCGCTTTTTACGGCCGTTTAGTGCGGACAAAAGAAAACTCTAACAGCCGCAAAATCGCCGCAATCAACTCGAAACGAGCACCGCGCTAAATTCTTGCTCAACACACACACGTACGCTAATTGAAAAAGAAGAGGGGTGAGAAAGGATGAGAAGCGCAACGTGTGAAACTGCTGTTTTACTGTAGCAAATTTACCAGTGCCATTTGTTTAATTGCAGAGGTAAATTTTTAAGGTTTCTCGGACAATTTGTTTTTAGTTTAATTATTATTCTCGTCTAAATTAAGACATCGTTCCAAACGGTTTCGTGTAAAGACCTAAACCGGTACAATATTAGTTCCTGATTTCGGATTTCTACGTAATTCACAGATAAATGTTAAAAAAAGCAATAAAAATTTGAATATTTAAGAGTTTAAATCAGATTTGTCTTTTTCCCGCCAAAATAATTTGAATCTTGGATTATAGAAAACATTATTTCCCACTGCATTTAAATCAATTTTAGTACTTTACCATTAAGGACTTAAATTTAAACATTAAAATTTAATTAATGCAAACTGCAAGTTCAAATTAATTTGGCGGGAAAAGTTAAAAACTTCAGCTTTGGAGCTTAGGGAGCAAATATTAGTGTTTGCAATTTCAAAGTCAACTTCCACAATAAAAGAATACAAAAATATAACTTTAGGGTCCTCTTAGATAATATTTTATCATCCAATTACAATATTTTTATTATTTTTTCAACTTTTATTATTGATTTTTGTCACCTTCGTAATTTTCTGCCGCGTTTCATTATTTAAAGCGCGCATGTTGCATGCCAAGCAAGAAAAGGGCGTGCCGCACGTGAAGAGTTATTGCCATTCGTAATCGCACACTTCCGGGTAAAACTGGAAATAAAAATCGTCCTGTTGTGTGTGCACGTAGGTAGGTGTACATATTTTATTATTTCGCGGAAAAAACGAGACGCAGCGTTTTCTCTTTAATCTCCGCAGGGCTGCAAAATAAATTAAAACATGGGGCAAATAAATTAAAAGGAGCAAGAGATTTCCTCTCTTCGGGGCTGAGAGGCGAAATAATTTATCGCGAGGAAAGACTCGCTACGGATAAATTCACTCTCTCTCTCGCGGCGGCAAAAAGACACGAGAACGGCATAAGCAGTTATACGCTGTTTAAACGGGCCAATGATTTATTTTTCCCCCGAGAGAGACCAAACGCGCTCGTCTCGCAGCCTTAAGCACTTTCTGCCAGACTTCAGCAAAGCTTTGGTGTTGAACAATGTTATTTTTTTATATAAACCAAGGAAAGAGCAAAATAAAACGTTAAAAACGCTAAAATTATTCAGATTTCGGATTTTTTCGCGCCAATACTTTTGAATTTTATTCAGAAGCAGAATATTTACTTGTTTAACCTGGTTTAGTGATTATTCAATCTGAACCGACTTCCTTGGAATTCAAATTCGCTTGGCGGGAAAAGTTGAGCCTTCTGGCTCATAGCTTAAAAGTGCAAATTTTTTAATGGCAATTTCACCATAGGTCATGAAACTTTTGGTCTTTTGAACAATGAAGAATAAAAAAAATTACCGGTGTCCATCTTTAATGTTGTAATTTTTATGCAATACACGTTTATATTTTAATTTTTCATTATAATGAATGGAGAAATAGAGATTAAATAACAAAATATGATAATAAATAAAATTTATTTTAGCAAAAGGATGTTAAAAAATTCATGACTTTTTCGACAATATTCAACTGCTATTTCAAAACTCCATTTGGATTCAACAGTTTCCGTGCGAGAGAGACAAAAGTGCGACGACACACGCCTTTTTGACATTCATTCCAATGTTCATGTATGCAAATATCACAAAACAAAATTAGCGTGCACGCGGCGGCAGTGGCGCGAGGGTGAATAATTTTCAATCAAATCGGGACAGGGGAGCGCCCGGCCGGCCACCCGCACAACGTTGCCGCCGAGCAGGTTGCATAAGCACGAAAAACGGCAGGCGCGCGGGCTGTTTACATACGGAATTAACGAGCGGTCGGCACGCGAGAGGGAGATTTTTAAAAAAACACGCGCTGCGCGGGAATAAAGCAGGCAAGCGAGGGGTGCTTTGACCCAACGGAGAAATTTCAAAATGCGGCGCTGCATCAAAGGGCTCGGAAATTTACGAAACGTTTGGGATTCTTGCCAACAAGGAATTTTTATTTTTATCGCATGAAATTCAAAGGAAAAAGATCGGACAATCAAAAATTGATAAAAATTATTTTAAATTTATTAAAAATTCCAAATTACTTGCAATTTGAGATGAAAATTTAAAATTTTATGAAAATAATAGACGAAATTTATTCAAATTCCATTAAATAGGGTAGTTTATAAACATTTTTTTTCTTCAGAATGTTGCATATTAAAACAAACAAAATTAAATCAAATTATTGTGAGGTGATGCGACAAATTGACTTAATAAATAAAAAAATAAAAACTTGAAATAAAAGAAAAATTTACAATGCTAAAAAGTCAAAAAATTTATAAAATTATTGATAATTTAATCAAGTGATTGAATAAATGATGTTAATTTCTATTGAGACAGTAAGTAAGTCTAGAAAACATTATATTCATTGCGAAAAAAGCAATGTTTTATATGAGAATGATCTGTAATAAATTGTAATTCAAAATATTCAAGACTGAAATTAAGGAATGAGTCATCAAATCAATGTTAGATCCTCATAATAAAGAATAAATCACGTAGAAATTTAATTGATTAAGAATAATTTACAATAGAAATTCTTGCTCATTTCCAAGCATTTCAATTTTAATGGGAAATGTTTTAAAAAAGGGGCTCCAAAAAAAAAAACAGATTAGAAAAAAATATTTGATATTTTAGCTCCAAAAGGACCAAAATTTTCAAATTAAATTATGATGATGAAATTTTTATTATTATTTTTTTTTTAATTTGTCATTTCCAAAAGCCGAATTGTAAAAATTCTCATTAATATGCAAATTGGCGGGAAAACTCGAGAGGGGAGGTGAGAGTGGAGGGGGGTCTTGTGTGTTGTTGTTACTCACCGCACTTGCCGTGGTAGCGGACGGTGATGTCGGCGTCGGCGGTGCAGGCGGCTCTGCGCAGCTGGCACAGGTTGGCGTAGTCGACGCCGTCCGAGCCGCAGACGGGCCTCGAGCCGACGTGGTCGCCGTAGGCGGGACACTTGGCTGGACACTCGCAGCGGGCCGAGCGTCCGTCGGCGCTGGCGACGCACCTCGCGCCCGGCGGACACTGCTTCTGGGCGCACGGGTCGGGCATGTCTGCGGGAAAGACGTAGCATGAGGACGCGTCGTCCCAAAGCAGCGACAACAACAACGCGGGCAACACCAACAAACGCATGCTGCCGTCTGCCCGCCCTGCTGCATCTCTGGCCCGCCGCCGCCGCCGCTCGGCCATCGATCCCTCCCCTCCCTCCCTCCGACCCCCCTACCTGCTCACACGGAGAGGTCGCGCGCTCTTCTGATTACCACCCGTTTGCCCGCCGGTCACAATTTATTTCATTGCGAAACTGCTCAGCCTCGATTGCTCCCGGCTTTCAGAGGAATTACACACTTGCCTGCAGCCCTGTCAGTTTCGTGCTCATTCGGATTGCTACATTTTGGATTTTGGACATACGTCCCGTCCCCTCCCTAGGGAATTGTGTTATTACAAAAATTGTCTCGTTTTAGGTCATCTTTAACCCCAATTTGAAAAGATATTCAAACATTCTGTTGAAAAAAAATGAAAGAAATAAAAAGATAACGAATGACATCCTTGTTCTATTAGAGATTTTTTTTTTTTTTTTTGTCCTACAAAGTTTGCCAAATGAATTTTCTGCAATTTTTGTTGTAAATGGACTTTTTAATAAATTTCTGCATTCGCCTTATGGGGTTCGTTGATCTTATATTTCTTTCTCTCAAGGAGGTTTCTATTTGTATGAAATTGACCTAGATTATTATAAAAAAATTAACAATTCTTGACAGTTATGATTTTTATTTTTACTTATTTAATTTGGTTGCTAAATCTCTCAGACTTGAAAATTACTTCATATTCTTCCTTCCAAATATTGACATTTTTCATTATTATTGGTGTTTATTTGTTCAAATTGCTACATCACATTGTTTACATTCAATTGTTGCAAATAATTGTTTAAAAAACGGCAGCAAGAATTTTGCTAAAACTTCCGAGATCAAAAAGATCCGCCACAGTGAGTTAAAATAAAATTAGAGAGTAAAATTTGCATAATTTTTTACTATTAAATGCGTAAATAGGCTTTTCCTCTTTTTATAATTATAAATAATTCCATAAATTCCAAAATAAATTTCAATTAAAATCATTAAAATTATTTATTTTAGTGTAGAGTTTATTTCTCATTCAATGAATAACATTTAATATATTTGATTTTAACACGCAATTTTTTTTTAAGAAATACTATTAATTACCAGTAAATAAGTGTCTGTTATTAATTTACGAATAATAAATTGCAAATATGCCTATATAGTACTGTTTTAATTCCATTATTTTGTACTTAATTTTAAAAGTTTTGAAATTTGGAGGATACTATTTTTTAGTATCTTTACCTTGGACTTTTTAAACTAACATTTGGGCATTAAAATTTAATTTCGCTTAATAAATCCTAAAATTTTCCACACTCTTCCCTGTAAATCCAATCGCTCTAAGCAATATTTCATTTTCCTCTCGCAATAAATAAAAAATATCGGAGTGACTCAATTTGCGGAGATAACTCCAGGAATATCTTCTCTCTCTCTCTCGGCAACTCGGCGAAATGAGTGTGATTACTTTGAGCCGCAGGACTCGGGCTGGAAATCCATTTAGAAATTGGCCGCGGGTGTCTGGTAGCTGCCGAGTGCAGCTCCTCGGGGCACTCGGCACGTGATGTATATCAACAGTGAAAATATTGTCCCGGCAGCCGAGTGGAAAGAGAGAGGGTATATCGAGAAAGAAATAAATTCAGTCGATACGTTTGTGTTTCCAAATGATGGTGCAGGCCTGCGAGAGCGCAGATAGGCGAAAGCAAGCAAGGCCGGAGGGCGCAAAAAGCAGGGCCCACGCCTTGCTAATCAGATCTCGGGGTGAATTTATCGCGTAGGGTTGCGAGAGGGAGACACGCACCGACGACAAATTCACGTCATTTCCCAACAACTTTTTCCGCGAGAAGAAAAAAATGGAACGGGTCTCCTGGTGGAAATTTCGCACCGGTGTGAAAAAATTATTTCGTCCTTTCTCTCTCTTTGTCCTTTTTTCAGAGAGGGAAATAAAGAAACGAGCTAATTGCAGGTGTTTCCCGAGAAAGGGTATTTTCATTAGCGGCAAATGGAGAGCGGCCGTGTCTCGGAATTCGGCAATTACTTTTAATTTAGAGGCCGTAAAAGTCTCGTTCGCACAAAACCACCTTTATTACTTTTTCACTCTCCGGAACAACTTTTGCGGCTGCTTACTTTTTTTATATAAAAAAAGGATATATAAACAACCCCATTTAATATTTCCGGGTAAGAGCAAAAGGGCTAATTAATTTTGGACAAAACCTGAAGGGGTGAGATTAATTCACACACCCGCACTACTTTACGGCTTGATTGAGCGGCAAATTTGCAATTAAAACACTCCCTCCACTCGAGCTGCTCGGAAATAATGAGGGAAAGGAAGTGAAAATTTACGGCCGAATTCGGACAAATTACTTGAGACGGCTGTGACAAAGTCGCTCATCTGCAAGTTGCGCACTTAAACAACCAGAGAGACGAACTAACTTTCGAGTTATATTGCAACCTTATCTCTCTCATTTCGCACAAGTTGTTCTACCTGCAATGGAAGACCTTAAAGGAGAGCTGAGAAGATGAAAATTCTACAAAATTCATATTGTAAAGTATTTTAAATTGTAAATTGTATTACGATTTTTGTATGTCGTACACACATGTGTTTAATAAATATTTTGATGATGATAAAGAATTTTAAATATTTCATTAATAATAAAATTAATTGTCTGAAAAAGTAAAAATGATACACAAATAATTAAATACTAACGCTCTTGGCAGATCTTTGCGTGTAAATTTAAACATTTTTTACAATAAAAAATTCCAAAAGATGTCCCAATAATTATTTTTGATGTTAGACAATGAACTGTGGAATTTTAATTTAAAATATTTTCTTTAAAAGTATTTCCAAGAAATATTATCAGATCTTTGCTTTTTTTTGAAAGATTTTGAATTAAAAACTGTTTTGGAAAGAAATTGACAGAATTATAACCAAGTGGCTTCTTCTATTCATCATAAAACCTGATGAAACCATTTTTTTTCGCCCGGAAACTTCATTAATTTTCTAAAAATAATTTTAGATCCTTGAAAAAAGTTTCCCACTCGAATATATTTAACTCTTTCTTCAAGTTTCCAACCAATTTAAATTGAAGATTGAATCAATATCAGCTTTAGAAAAAAATATTTCCAATGAACTTTTAATTAATAAGGTTCGTTTGAAAAAATATTGGTTTTTCTGGAAATTCACAAATGATAATGTTCCCCTCCAAGATATATTTGCAGATCGTCTCGGAATTCCCAGCAGCTATTGGAAAGAATGTATATTTTGCGGCGAGACGCTTTTGCCATACTTTGGGGAAATGAAAGTTAGTGCTCTTTGTTTAAACGCACAAAGAAAACTATAAATAAGGAAAGAGACGCTGTACAAAGAAGGTTTTTTTTCAATCCAGGAAACAAACGTTGATTTGTGTGCGTTTACACTGTGTCTGGTGGTTAAATCCCCTGAGAAAGAAAAGTAAGGAATGGAAAATGTCCCCACAGACGGAGGAAGTTAAAAAATAAAAAATTTCACAAAAATGTCATAATAATCATTGTTGATGTTGAACAATGGAATACAAAAACTGTGAAATTTTAATTTAAAATATCTTTCTCTGTAAAAAGATTTCCTAGAAATATTAATAGTCCTTTAAGATTTAGAATAAAATTATAAATTGATTGAATAGGAGAAATTTCTTTTTGATTATTAAAATTCTTAGTTTTTTTAAGAAGATTTTTTGAATTTTTTTGCATCTCATTTTGATCATTAATGATAATTTTACCACCAACCTTTTCACAACCAAAGTCTGCTACAAATTTGGCAATTTCGGCGGGAGAAATAGAGAGGGCTGATCGATCATTGCATTCAAAGGCGTCTTTTTCAGTGTTGAACACGATAAATGAGACGGCACGTCACGAGTTTCATTAATTCTGCGCCGTCCCTTCCCCTTTTCCTTCCTGCCTCGCCTTGCTAATAATAATAATAATAGCGATAAGGTGCTTTACTCTTGATCTAGCTGCTTTTTGCGATTTGGCCCTTGCTGTCAATAACAGCCTCTCTCGCTTTGATCAAACTCGAAGCTCGCTCTGCCGTTCCAAATTTCATTCGCCCTACAACTCCAATTTCCCTTTTGTGCTGCCGCTCCACGCTCGTTGCGCAAACGAACCCCCCGTGCAATCACGCTCGGGGCCATTAGCTAAACGGTCGTGAATGCGGCACGACTTACATGCAAACTGGCAGCAAACCCCAATTTCCGAACAGAGGGACCCACAACGATAAAAATGAACGAGTTTCAACTTCAACGAAATCAGGTTTAAGAATATATGAGTCGAAAAGTTTAAATTCCTAAAATGGATAATTTAATTTGTTCAGTTAAAGAAAAGCATGGAAATAATTTCTAATTTTTTTGGTGATTCAAATTTTATAGGAAAAGAGCAAAATTTTCATGAAAATGAAATCGACGCTGAATTTCTGATTTTATTTCTCATTAACTTATTTAATTTAAAATGATCAAACGGTTCGTTCCATCTTCAAATTTTGAAATTTTTCAGTAATCTTTGGTTTCAACTGCAATTTTATTTGCTCCAGAATGATGTTTAAACCTGATAACTTTTTATGTTCAAAATTCGCAATTTGGGGTAAAAAGAAATTAAAAGTCCCAATCTGGAATTCATGGAATTATATTAGAACTTTCTGAAAAGAATTTAAAACTCAATTTGCAGGTTCAATTTTTTTCCCAGTATTATTATTATTATTGTTTTGTATTTGTCCAAATTTGATATATCTTATTGTTTCCATTGAATTGTTGAAAACAATTTCATTAGAAAAAAAAGACAAAATTATGTGGATTTAACGCTATATTTAAAAAAGCGTTTTATTTTCAAAAATACTAATATTTCTTCGATTTTTTACAAGACCTGGATGAAGAAAAAGATTCAAATTAAAAGAAATTCCCTCTTCAAAACTTGATTTAAATTAAATTTTTACTCCCGATTTGGACGTTTGTGTGAAATTTGCACGAAATTGAAACGTTATTTTTCCTCATTCCCAATCGACAGGCGTGATGTTTGCGCAAAATATTTATCAAGAGCAAAGCTTTTGGCGCGCGAGAGAGAAACGTCGGCTCTTTTCACTCTGCCGATCAGAGTGTGTGTTTTTGACTCTCGAGACGCGCGTGTGTGCTAATACAAGATTAACGAAGATTGAGTCCGCAGTTTCTCTTTCGAGAATCGATTAAATTTTTTTCCCTCTCCGAAGTAGAGCAGTGGGTAACTTTTCTCGGCCCTTATTTTCGCCGTCATCAATCAACACTCGTCGAGCTCCTTGAAAATACATAACTTTCCTTCTTTTCGCCATCAGGCATTAATTCAACGATACGCCGCCCCCGATTGATCGACCCAATAAAATATTAAAAGCCGCTTTCGGTGTTTCGGCGTGAAAAAGAATATGTGTGCGATCACGAAAAGCAGCGGCGGGAAATATTATATTCTCAGGCGAATATTTTCTGTCAATCAATCATTTGCAAACCGAAAATAGAACATGTAAATTCGAATATATTCTTGAATTTGTGACAACTTTATTAGATTCCAGACTAAATATACTTTGCAAAAATGAATTTCAATTAAAAGAACTTACAAGTACAGATGTTAAAAATTATTCACAAAATTATAAAAAATTGATTTATAATAAAATTGGTATTATTACAAATAAAAAGAGCAGTTAAACTAACCACAAAATTACAGGTCCTTTGTAAATTTTGATGTATTATGGTAAAAATATTAACAAATTCCCTTTATAATAAAAAAACAATTTAAATTAATTAATTCATAAAAATTTATTTATTTTTATTTCTTATATTTTAATATATTTATAGATATTTAATAAATATTTAATTTCTGCATGTTTTGTAGGCAATTTGTAATTAGTTCAACGTGAAATTTATAATTAAATTTTAATAAAATAATGAAACCACTGAATTGTTGGTTCTTGATTTTCTCATCTGTACTAATTTCCAATTGAACCCTTCAACACCCATATCGTTTGCACGGTGGCTGAATTAATTGGAAATTTGTGACGAGTGGCGCAGACAAGTTTGCTCTCAACTTTCAGCGTGGAATTCGAGCCGCGAATTCCGCAGCCGTCAATCATCTTGTCACTCACTCTCGACCGAATTCCCCGCAACTTTGTATTCCCCGCGGCTAATTTTGCACAAAATCCCACAGACGTCTCTCGAGATACACATCCGACTGCTGCGGAATTTTGCACGGTTTTTTCTGTGTCTGGAAATAATTAACTGCCGGTGCGGAACCGCAGAAATGAGGAGAAAAACTGGAAGAGAGCTCGGAAAATTTCGCTAAAAGTAAAAATTCTTAATTTTCTTTTTAGAATTCTAAGGTTTGTGAGCATCCAAATAATTATATTTTTCAATTTAATGTAAATTACTTTAAATTGAAGTTTTTTTATTCTTATTTATTGATGAAAAGTGAATTAGATTTGACATTCGAGTATGATGAGATGATTCTGGTAAAAATAAGGGAAATCGTGCTGATTTTTTGTAAAAAATCTGGAGAATTTTCAAATCATCTAAAATTTATTATTTATTTCTTGTGTCCAGTAAAAAAAAATTGAATAAATTGGAATTTCAATTATTTAAAAATTTTAACAAAAAGAATTAAATTATTTTTTCAATCAAATTGAATAAATTAACCTTATTTTAAAAGTTTTTTTTTTCATACTTTCTGACTCGATTCTGCCGCATTGCCAATTTTCTCCTGGCGCTGCGGACCTCACTCGACCGGGCTTGTTTGTTTTTTTTTCTTTCTTCCTAAAAAGCAGACGGGTAGATTGAGGGGCAGGTGTTTTTCACGGCGGGCAAGAAGCTTCTGTGAATCGAGTGCCAGGTCTTTAAGTCGGTCCGAATTATTATTTCACAAGCTTGTTGTGTCCCTTTTTCGTTCTTTCTTCCGTCTAGGCCGGATCGAAGAGAAACTTTCCGAGTGCGCACCTGCTGCTTTTTCCCTCCCAACACTGCGGTCCTCTCTTTTGCCGGCCGATAAATCAAAAAAGTTTCGCGACACCGCTAATTTTTCTCTTTTTACACGTTTGACACCTGCACGAGGAGTGCGCGCGTCTCCATTCAGTATTTATGCGTGAAAAGAGAACAAATGTGAGCAATTTATTTCAACCAGGGGGGATTTATTGATTTTTATTAATTCCTATTCAAAAAGGATTGGATAAAATAGTGAATAAAAAGAGTCCAAATTGATGATTTTCATTTCTATTACAAGTGGTCCTAATAATTTATCTAGACAGCAAACAAAATTATTTGATAATATATCAAATTGTGTAAATTTTTTAATTCTGCATACGATAAAACCACAAAATTTTCAATATGATTAATAAGGAATATTTGGTATTTCCGCAAAAATTAAGTAATTAATTTGAAATTTGGTATAACAAAAATGAGTAAAAAAAAGTGCACCGAGAGAAAAAAAAGGAAAATTAATTAATGTAGGGTCATTTAATTAAAAATGATTATTTTATATAATTTTTGTTTCAAAAAGAAATACACAAAAATTTATAACTTTTCCTCTGATTCAAATTCAAATTAACTGTATTCTCTATTGAATTTTAATTTATAATTGTTTTTGCCAACTATTGAATTGAACTATTGAAGTTTCAATTTCTGTTTCAGAATTTAAGCGAAAGAAATTTAACAAATATCCAAATAAGAACAATATTTAAACTGCCAAATTTTAAATTTAAATTTCTTTTTAAACTTAAAGTAAGTTTTTGATCATTCAATTTTGTGACAGAAATGATATTTCTTGAGACTAAAATTTATATTTTGTAGACTGCAATAAGTAAACATTTCATTCTTAAAAATATATTGTAATTGAAAAGGGCTAAAATTTTCATTCTACTCAAACATCCTGTGCAAAAACTGTAGAACATGAATAATTTATTTACTTCTCTCCAAATCCGAGGCGCGAAACTCGGGAGAAAACAAAACAGGTCTCACAGCTACAAGCGGTTATTTATGGTAATTTAATTTTCTCGTAAAATTGCGGCTTTTAGCGAACGAGGGTTCACTTCGCCGCTGCTTTTTCTTCTTCTTTCGCTCTCCTTCCGCAACTATAAATTGTTCTCGCACACGCCGGGGCGAGAAAAGTTTGCCTCGCACGAAATTCACGCCCTCGTTTTTTCTCTGCCCCGATTCGCAGTCGGGCGGAACGAAACCAAAAGCAACCTTGAAATCAGCACTTCTTATTTCCTTTCAAAAGTTTCTTCGCCATTCAAAAAAAGATATATATAGAATATAAAAAAGTAGCGAATAAAAGAGATTTTATTTTTCATAACGGCAGAGCAGAAGTCGAGCAGGAGTTTTATTTTCATTAACTCTGCTTATTCGGTTTATGTTGGTGGCTTTTGAAATTTTTCACAACTTTTCCTCGCCCCGTTTTATCTTCTTTGAAAAGAGGGAACGTGCGAGTTCCCGCGAGCAAAGTTTTCGCTCCACTTGTCAACTGCACTCGACTCATTTAAGACTTGCAGATTAGACGAGGTCGTTGGTCTCTAAATCACAATTGACAACCCAGTTTGTACTTCATTAAACAGAAATAGGAATAGAATAATAAATTTTAATTATATAATTTTGCGTGTTTCATCAAGACTCTCCTTAATATAGCAAAATTAAATAATTAATTTTTATTTCAAGCTATACAAAAGTCTACAGCTTATTTTGATTTTAAAATAAATTAATTGCAAAATTATATTAAATAATTAGTTATGAATAATTAATTATATAGATCTTTTTTTTTAATTTCTTTGAACAACACGTTGGTGCAAATGAGTAATTTTAATAATTTCTTTCACAGTGGTGGGACCGTTTTATCGAAAAATTCCATATTTCAAATTTTAAATTAAATTTCTTTTAACAGATGAAATTTAAATTTCAATGTTTTTGTTACAATCGAGACAAATAATTAACAGCAATAATTATTGCCCACGTTATCTATAAATAAATAATAAAATTATATTTCCATATTTTTGGAAACAAGATTTTGTACAATTAGATAAAAAAAAAACTATAGAAGAATCAAAATTATATTGCTCTAGTTGTTTTGATAATTTTTTATTGAATGTTATACTTCACTTTTTTATTAATTTATGTCAATAACTAATTTTTTTTTTCAATATTGAAAAGATTTGTATTTCTCAACGAACATTTTACAAATCACCGGCTGTATCTGGACAAATGAGACCTAGAAGTCGCTGCAATTTTGCCTTTTGTCGTCCGGTTTTGATTCATTACGCTCGCAGTGTTTTCCAATTTAAAAGTTTGCCGGTCTCGGTTGCAGAGCCGCAAACTTTCCGCTCATGCCTAATAATAAATCGCCTCGGTTAAAGGAAAGTTGGGAATTCCTGCGGCACGAGAGAAGAAAACAATGCTCGGTTTTCTTTCTTTCCGAGAAAGAAGAAAAGTCAAGCCGATCCCTCTTGGGCACTTTAATTAACGCGCACGCAGAAAAGCCGATTTTTGCTGCTGCCGTGAAAGTGTCGCCGCCTGATTTATGGTCCCACCAAAAAAGGTTCTTTATCCGAAATGGATAAAATTCGAAAAGGACTGTTGTTGATTGTTCTTTTTTATTTGATTGTAAGACGAAAAAATTACATGATTTTTATAAAAATATATTTTTTCAATTAATTAAGCTTGACGCAATACAAATAATTATTTTTATGTTCAATTAATTTTTAATTCCATGGTAAATAAGTTTCCCAAAAGTTCGATTATAAATTTTCTTAATTAATTATGCTAATTTAATATCAAATCACATCTTGATAACATTTAAATTCTTTTTGTTCATGAGGAACTAATGATGGATTCAAGCAAGGATTCAAGATTAAAAGGCTTTAATTCTGAGGGGGATTTTGGACTGTTATTGATTATCTAAAAAATTGAGAGACCACTCAGAATATTGGACATCCATCCCCCATGCCCAAAGGCACAGGGTGAACGATCATCAATGACCAGCTGACCTCAGACGAGATCAGCAATGGTCCTTTTCACGCTCAGGACAACCAATTATTCCTCTTCATCGTGGAGTCTCGGGGTGCAAAGTTGTTTAACTATGCGGGCGATACATACTACAGAAATGATCCTGTGAAGTATGATCTTAAGTTATACAATCTCTTAAATTGTTGGGCCACCGTACGAGCTCAACACGCAGTCCGTCGAGATCTTGCGCCGTTCTTAAGTCGACGCTAATTATCGGTTCAAGTGAAAAGATTCGAACTGATCTGAACGGTAAAAATAAGCTTAATGTATTTAATAAAATGAAAATATTTTAAATATTTTTGGTTTACAATTGTTTAATTAAGGTACAACTGGTCTTGCGGAAGAAATGTTTGCTGACGCCATCTGCGCGGGCAATCTTGTAATCACGGTCGGTCTAGCCGCTGCGGGTTAATAATACCGCGAGTTTGGTTGGCACGCGCTGCCGTGTTCAAAGTCTCAAATCTTTTCCCTTTAGATAAATTATTTTTTGAATCAATTAATTAATATATTTATTCAATTATACCAAAGGTTGTTTAAAAAATTTAATTATTAAATAAAATTTTAATTTATTATAAATAAACTAGAGATACTTAATAATTTAATTTAAATTTATCAAAAAATAAATTTAATAGATAACACTATAACTTTTAATTTAAAATCATGTTTTTCCTAATTTAAATTATAAAATATATAGCATTTCAAATTAACTTTTTGTATGATTTAAAACTAAAAATTTCGAGTGACACGGAAGAGTTGTTCATTCATTTCTCCGCGGGGCTGTCAAACTTTTTGCCCTCGACTAATTCATTAAGTCGCTCTGCGAGAAAGAATTAATTGCACTTTCCCTTCACGTGCTCGGCGTCGGCAAAAGGTTTTTTCTTTCCTGCGGCCGCGCGTTCGCCAAAAAAGTGAGGTCCGCGTCACGTCTCCTCCAGCTCGCCGTCTTGACACGAGATGAAGAAAAATTGCCTCGTGCTTGTTTTTAAAAGAGAGCGCGTTTTTGCCGTCTCGAACATGCACTTCTTTTTAAACTGTGTCGTTCCACCAGCAAGCACAGTTCCATTTTTCACGGTTCACTCGAGCGGACAAACCAAAGCTCTGATCATTTGCATCTGAATTGACAGTTTAAAAAAAATCAGATTTGTACGCAAAATGAGATGTATAGGAAAGAATTATTTACAAATTAATAAATTTTTGAGTATTTTCTCAAAATTAGTTCAAAATATATTATTAAATTCTTTAATTCATAGAAACGATTTCCCTGATTAAATAAATGTCTTGAAACTGTATTTTAATTAATCCATTATTAATTATATAACAAAAAATATATTAAAATAGAGTATGAATTAATTAATATAATTTTTTTTTATTAAATTGTAAGAAAATTTCTATTTTAATTTTCCAAAAGAAATTTAATTAGGGTAATGAAACTGAGCGAAGAAACCAATGCTCGGAAAATTAATTTAAGTGTCCAAATTTCAACTTCTAATTTGAGATGTTGATTTTATTAAAAGAAAAATAAATTATTAGGTTATCTGTTCCCAGACAATTAAGATTTCAAGAAAAGAGGTAAATTAGGACGTTTTCAGAGTATTGGTTTTCTTATTCAGTTAATTCACTTTCTGAATCTACGTTAAATTTCTTTAGACAAGCTGATAAATTAATCAAGAAATGACAATTTGTAGATCAAAAAGTATTACTGAGATTGCATTCGTAGATTATAATCGTTTTTTTTATAAATATTCAGATTGCTTTTCATTTTCCACCATCTGCAATTACATTTTGACTTAATTAATTCAAATATATTCCAAGCCACATTCTTAAACACTTTAACCAACTCTTATTCTCTCTAATTAAATAACCACTTCTTCTCCGTCACTCAGCAGGTTGTTTATTTAAAGCAGCGCGGTTTGTTTCGCACAAATTAAATTAGTCGGCAGATGATATCGGCCGAGTGCCATTCCATTTCATTAAGGTCTGCAAAGTTGCCAACTTTGCCGAGGCGTATCTATATATAAATTAAAAAGGGAGGCCTTGAAAGGAATAGATCGTGCCGGGAAATGGCTCTGCGATTTCTTTCTCTCTCGGGTCGGCCGCCGGAAAAGTGCTCGGCAAAGAAGGAGATCTTCTGCTGAAAGGGCAATTTCCTCTTCCTGCCGAGTCAAAGAGCGGCCACTATTTTAAAAGCAGGTAGCACACACGACCGACCGACGCTAATTAAGAAAAAGAGTGAAGCTGATTGGGCAGAAATTCCGAGAGAGAGAATCTTCGTGCTCCGCCAGCTTTCAAAGGGATCACTTACGGTGATGAGAAACTGCAACTAGTAGAAAACTACTATTTAACGAGAATAATTTCGTCCTGAAGTAAATGGGAAAATAATTAGTTTGGGAAAACTTCTAAAATTGAAATAATATTTATTTATTAGGATCCTTATAAGTAATATAAATATTATTTATTTTTATATAAAATTGGGAATATTTCCCAATTTTTTTTTGGAAATTTTACCTATTTTTCAAAATTCTAAAACATTCAGATCCTTACAATAATCGTTTGGTATCTTTTTAGACAAATCGCTATCAAAATCTTCTTAAGCTAGAGATTATAATAAAAAATCAATTTAATCAATTTAAAAATAAAATTTTCAAAAAACGTACATTATTTTGAAATATTAAATTAATATAATTATTATTTGTGATTTTCATCTTTTCTTGAAATTTTCTGCTCAATTTAACAACGGCCTTTGCATTTATTTATTCTACATCATTTTTTGCCACATGGAGTCAAGCTATGACGGTTTGAACCCACCACTCTAGCCGGCTCCCTCTTCTTTTTATTTTTTTACGCTTTCTGCGCTCGAGACAAGGGCCAAGAGAGTAGATGAGCCACTCAAGCTCATGCACACAATAAAACGATAATGTCCGGAAGAAATATTATAATTCACCGCCAAGAAAGATGTTAGGGGAAGAGAGCAGCAGAATAAGAAGAGGATTTCTTTGTTCAAGAAGCGCCAGACTTCAGGAGAATTACAAAACCCACCAAACATGCACATCACCCTCTAAATATCTCAATTTAAATTAAATTTCCATACTTAATTTAGGCATGCTGGTAAATAAATCGATAAAAAAATGTTAAAATTTCATTTCATCTCAATCTATTGGCCTTTGAATGTTGCTATTAAACGACAAGGATTGAGACGTTAATAATGGTTTATTTTAAAAAAATAATTTCTTAATCAGAATTTGCTGAATTGCATGTCAAAATAATCTTTATATCTTGGTTTAGGGCAAAAATTCAATAAACTCTAAGACAATTTCAATACTTCTAAATCTACTGGCCTTTGAATGCTGCTATTAAACGACAATTAGGATTGAGACAACAATAATGGTTTATTTTGAAAAAAATTAATTTTTTAATAGAATTTGCAGATTTGCATGTCAAAATAATCAGAATAGCTTGATTTAGGACAAAAATTCAATAATATCTAAGACAATATTAATTCTTCTCAATCTACTGGCCTTCGAATGTTGCCATTAAACGACAATTAGGATTGAGACGTCAATAATGGTTTATTTTGAAAAAATTTAATTTTTTTAGAATTTGCAGAGTTGCATGTCAAAATAATCAGAATAGCTTGTTTTAGGTCAAAAATTCAATAAACTCTTAGACAATTTCAATACTTCTCAATCTACTGGCCTTTGATAATGTTGATATTAAACGACAAGGATTGAGACGTTAATAATGGTTTATTTTAAAAAAATAATTTTTAATCAGAATATGTTGAATCGCATATCGAAATAATCTTTAAAGCTTGTTTTAGGGCAAAAATTCAATAAACTCTAAGACAATTTCAATACTTCTCAATCTACTGGCCTTTGAATGTTGATATTAAACGACAAGGATTGAGACGTTAATAATGGTTTATTTTAAAAAAATTATTTTTAATCAGAATTTGTTGAATCGCATGTCGAAATAATCTTTATAGCTTGTTTTAGGGCAAAAATTCAATAAACTCTTAGACAATTTCAATACTTCTCAATCTACTGGCCTTTGAATGTTGATATTAAACGACAAGGATTGAGCCGTTAATAATGGTTTATTTAAAAAAAATAATTTTTAATCAGAATATGTTGAATCGCACGTCGAAATAATCTTTATAGCTTGTTTTAGGGCAAAAATTCAATAAACTCTAAGACAATTTCAATACTTCTCAATCTACTGGCCTTTGAATGTTGATATTAAACGACAAGGATTGAGACGTTAATAATGGTTTATTTTAAAAAAATAATTTTTAATCAGAATATGTTGAATCGCATGTCGAAATAATCTTTATAGCTTGTTTTAGGGCAAAAATTCAATAAACTCTAAGACAATTTCAATACTTCTCAATCTACTGGCCTTTGAATGTTGATATTAAACGACAAGGATTGAGACGTTAATAATGGTTTATTTTAAAAAAATTATTTTTAATCAGAATTTGTTGAATCGCATGTCGAAATAATCTTTAAAGCTTGTTTTAGGGCAAAAATTCAATAAACTCTTAGACAATTTCAATACTTCTCAATCTACTGGCCTTTGAATGTTGATATTAAACGACAAGGATTGAGACGTTAATAATGGTTTATTTTAAAAAAATTATTTTTAATCAGAATTTGTTGAATCGCATGTCGAAATAATCTTTATAGCTTGTTTTAGGGCAAAAATTCAATAAACTCTAAGACAATTTCAATACTTCTCAATCTACTGGCCTTTGAATGTTGATATTAAACGACAAGGATTGAGACGTTAATAATGGTTTATTTTAAAAAAATAATTTTTTAATCAGAATATGTTGAATCGCATGTCGAAATAATCTTTAAAGCTTGTTTTAGGGCAAAAATTCAATAAACTCTAAGACAATTTCAATACTTCTCAATCTACTGGCCTTTGAATGTTGATATTAAACGACAAGGATTGAGACGTTAATAATGGTTTATTTTAAAAAAATTATTTTTAATCAGAATTTGTTGAATCGCATGTCGAAATAATCTTTATAGCTTGTTTTAGGGCAAAAATTCAATAAACTCTTAGACAATTTCAATACTTCTCAATCTACTGGCCTTTGAATGTTGATATTAAACGAC